GTTTGAACAAGTATTTGAACAACTCATCTTTTATGTTTATAGTTATCAACACAAGTGGTTATAATTATTTTGTAATGCGGAGCACTTTTTTTTGCTAACAAACAATGCAAAATGTGAGGGAAATAAGTCAAATAACTTTTGCTTAGAAAATAAGTTCTAAAAAAATATTTTTCTTTCGTCCAAATGAACACTATCCTTGGTTCAAGGAATGAAATGTCACAAGATGACGTAAAATATTTTAGCCAATCAAAATCAGTCCAGTCAACGTGTGCCAAATGAGTAGAATAACATGTCTTGGAGTGGCAAGTCACTCTTTTTATCATTTTTACACTTTTTTTAATGTCATTTAATAAATGCAAATTGTTCTACTTATCTTTTTTAATAAAATAATTGTAATCCTTTTTAATTTTTTCGGCAATATTTACATTTTTGACATATTTTAATTAGTCCATGTGTGCTTTTTTCTATTATAAATATTTGCATTTTCTTGTAAAGATTTTAATTGTACAAAGAGAAATTATTTTTTTATTTTTTTTAAAATTAAATTAAACAATTACAGATAAAATTCATAAAAACATTAATTTTTGAAATTATATATTTTTAGTTTTAGAAAAAGGTTAGATTGTTTTAAAAAAGAAAATAGATTGTAAATGGAAAACATTGCCTCTAATGTCTTGCTCTTGCCTCTAAAAAATAAAAAAATAAAAAAACTTTTTTCTTTTACAAAAAAATTAAAAAAAAAGGGAAAAGATTGCTTCGTGTTTGCCTCGGCTTGCAGGGTGACTTGCTATGCCTCCCATGGAAAAGGAGCAAAGATGATGAGGTTACATGGGTGGGTTAGACCCGCTAGTGCCCATGCACGTCTAGTTTTATGGAGTACAAAGTATTCATTTTACATATCTATTTTTTGGTGCATATGTAAAGCATGCACAGTATAATTTATGAAGTTGATTTATGCATGTTTTATAATTGCTTGGTACTTACTTGTATTTTGTTGTAAAAAGAATTTTTGTTAGTATTGTTAACAACATTTTTAATCCGTAAAAGGTAAAAATGAAATCTTGAAAATGAAATTTTATAAAATTACAAATTTGTCCGATCTTCAGTCTTTGAAGGAAAAAAATATATGGCTACATACACGTACTCGCATTTTTATTGCAAAAAGAAAACCGGGCCATTTTTTGGTTGTCTCTGTTTTGTCCGTCAAACACCTAAACCCCTAAACAAATTTTCTCCCCGTAGCGTGAAATGCATGTTTATTGGGTATCCCTATGGCACAAAAGGGTGGCGGGTGTATAACTTGGACACTCACCAATTTTTTCACGTTAGGGATGTCGTGTTTGATGAATCACAATTCCCATTCTCTCTTCCAAACACTACCAATTCCGTCCAACCCGTCTTAAACCCCGCCGACGTCGACTTTCCTGACGTCTCTCCGCCGGCAGTCTCCATCGGTGACACTACCACCGAGCAACCCGTCATCTCTCCTCCGTCTCCCGTACCAATCCTGTCAACCGAACAACCCCCTCTTCCCGTCACTGTCCAGTCGACGGGCGAGTCTCCCTCGTCCGTCCCGTCTCCTTCTCCTTTACCTCCTCGCACACGTCGCCTCCCCACCCACCTCAATGACTATGTCCTCCATTCTGTGTCTACCGTCACTCCGTCTTCCTCTTCACCTAGCTCAGTCTCGTCTGGTACCCGGTTCCCGATTACTAACTATGTTCGTTATGATAAGTTGCATAAAAAGGTACAAGGGCTTTATTGGTGCTATAGATGCTTCCCCAGTTCCCACTTCTTATAGAGAAGCCGTCAGGTTTGCTTCTTGGAGGGACGCTATGGCACAGGAATTCAATGCATTGGAGCGTAATCATACCTGGGAGATTACTGATTTACCTCCTAATCGGCGGGCCCTTGGCTGTCAGTGGGTATATCGTACTAAATATCGGTCTGACGGTACTAAGGAGCGGGATAAAGCACGTCTGGTTGTCTTGGGAAATCATCAGGAGGTGGGGGTCGACTTCACTGATACATTTGCCCCCGTAGCCAAGTTGGCTACCGTTCGGGTGTTGTTGTCTGTCGCAGTTGCACGCGGATGGCAGGTTGACCAGCTGGATGTCAACAATGCCTTCTTACACGGGGATCTTAAGGATGAGATTTATATGAGGCTCCCACCTGGATACTCTCATTTGTTCCTTGGGAAAGTATGTCGTTTGCGAAAGTCTTTATATGGGCTCCGTCAGTCTCCCCGGAATTGGTTTGCCAAGCTTCGTCTAGCTTTGCGTCAGTATGGTTTTCGCCAGGCTCATGCAGATCATACTCTTTTTGTTCTCTGTCGTGGTCCTGATATACTTGTTGTTCTTGTTTATGTGGATGACATTCTTGTTGCAAGCAATAATCCCTCTTTGTGCACTTCTTTTAAGAAGTACTTGGATGCTTGTTTTCAGCTCAAAGATCTTGGACCGGTCTCTTATTTTCTGGGTATAGAGTGTGCTCGATCTTCTACTGGTATGGTGCTTAATCAGCGAAAATACACCTTGGACATTCTTCAGGAGCACAACCTCTCCGGATGCAAGCCTGCCGACACCCCCTTGCCCAGCAACCATAATCTAGCCCGTTCTACTAGTGCTGAGCTTCGGGATGCTGCCAAGTATCGTCGTCTTGTTGGCCGTCTGTTGTATTTGACTCTCACTCGGCCGGATATCTGTTATGTTGTTCATGCCTTGTCTCAGTTTATGCAGGCTCCACGTCTAGACCATTGGACCGCGGCTCTTCGTGTTCTCCGGTATCTTAAAGGGCATCCTGGACAGGGTATCCTCCTTCGTCGAGATAGTGACCTGACTTTGACGGCCTATTCAGATTCAGATTGGGCGAGTTGCCCGCTCACTCGTCGCTCTGTCACCGGTTATTTTGACCTTCTCGGTGGGTCCCCTATCTCTTGGCGCACTAAGAAGCAAACTACAGTGTCCCGTTCGTCTGCAGAGGCGGAGTACCGCGCCATGGCTAACGCCTGCGCTGAAATCAGGTGGCTCCGTGGTCTTTTGGCCGCTTTAAAGGTCCCTTGTGTTGCTACTCCGCGTTTGTATTGTGATAATAAGTCTGCTCTCTTCATTGCGGCTAATCCGGTCTTTCATGAGCGTTCAAAACACATCGACATCGATTGTCATATAGTTCGGGAATGCCTACAGCGTGCTCATATAGTCACCGCTTATGTTCCTACGCGGCTGCAGACAGCTGATATCTTCACGAAGGCGCTCCCCGGTCCTCTTTTTCGTTCTCTTTTGTCCAAGTTGGGCATTTTTGATTTATATGCTCCAACTTGAGGGGGAGTGTTAGCGTATATTATGTATAGATATTAGTTTATGTATATCCTGTATCATGGTGGGCCTATCTTATTGGGCAAGGAGACACTCGGGTTGAACCACATTAAAAGATTGAATCCAATCGATTAGTTAGTCCAACTCCAGAGCTTATATACCGGTTATTTTACTCTTGAACTTCCGATGTGGGATGCACTCTAACACTCCCCCTCAAGTGGACAACCGGGCCATTTTGAATCTAACCGGTTGACCACTTGCAAATGAACTCCCATTCCCTTGACTTTTTTTTTGAGCGCCAACACCTTAAATGATCACGAGCCGCTGGGTATGGACTTCCAGACGAGCAATCGTGTTAAACAGGCCACATGCCATTGTTTACACACTCCATACGGACAATTGGGCTAAAGACAAACGAGCCGCTAGGAATGAACGTCTAGACGGACACCTTGACAAACGAGGTGGGCCAAAACCAGGCTTTGATACCATGATAGAATTTAGGATGGGGTAGTGATAACTGGATTGGGCAAGGAGACACTCGGGTTGAACCACATTAAAAGATTGAATCCAATCGATTAGTTAGTCCAACTCAAGAGCTTATATACCGGTTATTTTACTCTTGAACTTTCGATGTGGGATGCACTCTAACACCTAAATTCTATCAGAATTAAAAAAATTATACTTTCTAAAAACTACATAAAAAATTCTACAAAATAATAAGTAGCAAAATTATACTCCGTATTATTTAGTCCAATGGGTAGCAAAAAAGAATTAAAAAATATGATTAAAAACTGACCTTGTAATTAGTAAAAATGTAACTTAAATTGGGACGAAAGGAGTATAAAACTTATTAAGAGATTTGATGTCCAAATCAATGAAGACACCAATTGATACGATCTTGAATGAATCATATTGAGATATGGAAGATCTTTGAGTTTTCTTTTTTTTTTCCTTTTTTTAAAGCCCAAGTAGCAAGCTACTTTGATGGGCATTCCTCCTTAAAAAATTGAGTTAATATCGTGTGGGCCAATGACCCACATATCAGATATTAACATGATAAGAACAGATACTACACATTAATTTTAGTCAAAAGGCTGAGAAAGGTATGAGTGTTCTTTAAGTTCTAGAAAAGGGAGGCAAAGAAAGAATAGAAAACTTCGAGCGTTTCCGAGCTAAAAAAAGATGAGAGTTTAAGAGTTGATTATAGCATTCATTGATTATGATGAAAGAGTTACATTTCTATTTATAGGAAATGGAGAAACACTAACACTAAATCTAAACCTACCGATCCAATGAATGCAATAAAGGATCGTAACAAATGTTGGAAGGAACTTATAACTAGTTCACCTAATGAAAGTTATATTACATTAAATGTTAACTAATAAATAATTAATTAAATAATCTAATCTGTATGAGTATAACATGAATTTTAAAACCTAGGAGAAATTATATAAATTTACAAATTTGAAATTAAGTTATTTGGAAAAATATCAAATGTAATTAATTTTATAAGGAAATAAATGGCAATTTGGAATTAAATCAATTTTGATCTTTTAGTCACACATTTTAGTCGTATATGGAACAAATATTCAAGAAAAGTGAAGCATCGCCCTATCAAGATTGGAGCCACTAATGTAAATAAGGCGTTAGAAGCGCACACCAGGATTTTCCGGACTTAAACGCTAAACCAGCATATTTCAACGTTTGTTTTCCGCAGCTTTCTCCTGGTGATCTCTGCTATTTTAGCTCCCCGCTAAACTCCTGAAAACTCTTCCACCCTAGCGTTCAATCCAGAAATTTGGCGTTTTGGAGAAATTGTTCACTTCTACCCCTCCGAAATCTTGCGGGGAGGCATTACTCGGCGCCTAATTGCATCTCAATACAAGCTACGATATGGCAGTGGAGAACTAGGGTTTATTCCTGCACGTAAGAAATCTAAATTCTTTCAGTATTTCTGAAATCAAATTTAGTATCTTGTTCTATGAACCGCTATTTATTACGGAGTATTTTTTGACATTTGTTCGATCCTGTTATGCTTTCGAATTTACTCTGAGTGATTTGTTGTAAAATTAATTTGTTATGGCTGTTAGTTTATGATTTTCTACCTGTTTCTTGTACACAATTGACAATTGTTCAACACAATTATAAGATTTAAACTTGTCAATGATGTTGCTGCCATAGATGTCCTCCTCCTAACTTCCGTAGACATTTTTTTTTGTTACGTATAGTTCATCCCATAGTTTTGAAAGGCCAAAGGCGAGAGGCGGGCAATAGGGCCTTTTTTTAAGGCGGAAAGGGAGGCGAGAGGCGGGTGGCCAAAAGGCGAACTTGGGGCATACACACACATACATAAAATATATAGTGCACTGCAATTAATAATGCCAAACCCAAGCAAGTCATACATGTTAAACAAAACAATTAGAGTAGTTACTACATATGTTTCCTAAAAAACGAGTGTTTAATATATAGAAATGTATTAAGAACTGCTAGCTCATTTTTAAAAGGCCCATAGCCAGTAAGGCGAGAAAGGCAAACAACTCAGGCGAGAAAGGCGAGAAAAGAGAGTGACTCAGGTGAGAAAGGCGGACAACGCCTCGCCTACAGGCGGTATAAGGTCGCCCAGACGCCTGAGGCGCCTTAGGCAAGGGAGGCGCTTGCCTTTCAAAACTATGGTTCATCCTATTGGGTATTTTAGTAATTTTCAATGCATTAGATTTTTAAAATGTTCAACTGCCAAACGATAAAAAATCAAACAGTTAATCACTAAGTTGAATGCAAACAGCTAAACCTTAAATTCTAACGTTGTTCCAAACATGCCCTCTCAGAACTATGCCAATGAAATAAAAGAAGTTTGGTTGATTATAAGTAGATATCTCTAAGTTGTGATCCCTGTTTCATGTATATTATGTGAGATTTGTTGATGCTAAATTGATTCTCTGCTTCAAAGTATACTTGTTGAATCATCTCGCTCAATTCATATAGAAACTGAGAATTGATAATTACATTAATCACAATGGTACAATATATATAGGTTACAAAATGGAGAGTATGTTGTTGGGATCCTCAAAGTGCTCCACAAAATAATCTAGGTTTGGGAGTTACAAAGATATATATGACAAGTAATTAGGAGAAATGGAAATAAATTATGATAAATGAGCATCTCTTGTATATTGCTATTATGTTATATATTGGGATTACCTTAACACAATTAATGTGCAAAGTGAAATAATGTATGTGTCTCTAATCAGATGTCATGTACTTGGGATTATATTCCACACAGTTAGAGAGGGACAAGTGCTAAGTAATTTCAATGTGCTTACTGGGCCACTCCCCTAAGCTGGCGTTGGCACCATCGGGTTATTTGGGTACATGTCACGGGCATAATGTAAAAAAAAAGCAAAGATTTAGTTAAAAAGTTTTATGTGATGTATGATAAGACCAATAGGCTGAATTTTTCAAGCATAGACTTCTGAAGTATCTTTCTGGATTCACAGTGACTTGCTCAGCTTAAAACTTACTAGTTTTCATTCAAATGAATACATGCAATTACAAGTTTTTCTTGGCACAGTTGACATTTGGAGAATCAATCACTCCTCAACTCCTTGGGCGACAATGAAGAACTTTAGCAGAGGGGTCCTCATGTTCTCCAAGATTTATGGCTCTGGTTTTCTGGTAAAACCCCGACCATTTCAAATTGGGGCTTCTAATATACTAGCAGTAGGTAATCAACGGCATAAAAGCAGTCTAGTAGGAACCTCAGATACTACCCCAGCCACACGTTATCCGAAATCATTCTGTGAGTGGCTAGCAGGAGTTATTGATGGTGATGGAACTCTGAATGTGAATAAGAAAGGCCGTACTTCTCTTGAAATTACTATGGGACTCGAAGATATAGCACTACTACGATATGTCCAACATATGCTTGGAGGAAGTATTAAAATGCGGTCTGGTGCTAAATCTTATCGGTATCGACTGATTGATCATCTTGGTATGATTAAACTAATGGATTGTATTAATGGTAATATTCAAAAATCTGCCCGACTAACTCAGCTGCACCGAGTCTGTCAAGTAAATGATACCCCTGTAATTGTGCCTCTCAGACTCAATGCTCAATCAAATTGGTTTGGAGGATTCTTTGATGCTAATGGTAGCGTTGATATCACTGTGAAGAATGAATCACCCCAACTACATATTCGAGTAACTAGTAAACTGCTTCAAGATGTGGAGCCTTACAAGGTTGTGTTTGGTGGAAATGTATACTTTGATAGTGGACAAAATGGTTTCTATGAGTGGTCCGTGGATACTCGTGAAGACATTTCCAAATTTACTGGTTACTTCAAAACAAGTACTTTCAGAAGTCATAAATCAAGACGCTTCTTTCTCATCGACGAATATTATCATCTATATGATCTCAAAGCTTTTGAACCTTCCAGTATGAACCATAAAGCATGGCTAGCTTTTCTCAAGAAATGGAACAACTTGTAAGTATAATGCCCCTTTCTTCAACTCATCTATTTATATTTCTTGAAATCCTTGAGGACCTAATTTAATGGCACGCTGCATAGGTTTGTTGATACAAATGAATTAAAAAAGCTGATTGTTAATATAGGCCTCTCTGTAAACTATAGTCATTTTCATTTTAATAGAAAATTGCTGTGTTGGTGAGTCTAGATGGCTTGAATTTGACATTAGAGGTGGTGTTGGTTTGGGATTTGAATGACCGGGATTGTTCTTCTAACCAAACCTGTTTTATTAGTAGTTGGTCAGACCTCTGGTCTTAGCTTGTTGAATTGGTACTCTAAAAATACATTAAATGTAAATTCTTTTTTTACATTCTAATTGGAATATCTGTCATCAAACAATTTAATTAGTACTCATAATTCATAATTTTGTTTTATTGTAATATGAATATATTTTTATGTAAGGTTAGTGCAAAATTCATATGTAGGTCATGCAATTTAGGGATGCATGGCAAGATGCATTTCAAATAATAAAATTATCATATTGCTTATCTTAAAAAGTTTTGCCAATTTTGATGTTTGGTATTGAAAATTGGCTTAAAAGAAACTTTTTGGAGCAACATTAAGAAGTTATAATTAAAAGCAAATAGCTATCTGCAAATATCTCTATGCTTATTAGTTACGGAGTATTACTTGTGTTGCACAATTCAGAGCTACTTAGTAATTTTTTTTTGCTGATAAGCAGTTTTTAACTTATAAGCTGCTTATAAGTTTAATATTCTTCTGTGAAACTAAAGTGACTAAATGATAGATACATCATTGAGGATATTCATAAATGGTGAGGGATAAATTTCTAAATGATTTGGTTAAAACAGAGAAACGAAAAACACTATCTTAAAAAAATAGGTAAGACCTACTTATTTTATTTTTTACCTGATAAGCAGTTTATAAGTTAGCTTATAAGCACAAAAAACATGTCGTAAGTTGACATTTAAGTTAAAAATAGACTATAAGCAGTTTTACTCCGTTTATAAGCATAGAGAAACACCACCCAATTAAATATAAAAGAAATTAACCTAAATAGGAGTAAAACATAGAGAAAGTACCAAAATAGGAGTTCAATATTTTATTTTCTAAATAGGAGTTTGCACTCTAGTAATGTGGCACTATACATGTGTATTTTACTATACTTTTTGATAATGTACATGGTCATGATTGGTAATGTAAATGCATTTTAAGTCCTATTTCGTGAATAAAAACATGGAACTCTTATTTTGGTATATTTTTAATGTTTTATTCCTACTTTTTTCTTTTTTCCTAAATATAAATATATACTTAAACTTGCAAATGCTACAACTTTTATTTTTACTGTATACTCCACAAAAGAAAACATTCTTTTTTGAAAAGTTTTTATACATTTTCACAAAAAGCATTCGAACTAAATGTCCTTTTGTTGGCCTGACACTGAACACTGTGAATGCTCTCTGCTAAAAAGATCTCATAAAGTTTTTACAGATATTTTTAATGTAGTCCACTTAACTGGGCATGTTATATGGTACAACCAGATATACCGTACGTCATGGTAAACTTGTAATTAAAAATATTTCAGAATGAACCTTACATTGTTTCAAAATGAACTCTTTGTTATTTCAGAATGAATATTACGTAGTCTGAGAATTAACACTACGCCGAGCAGGCTTGGAATGAACACTACTACGTTGTTTCAGAATGAATGCTACATTGTTCGAAAATGAATATTATAATTGCAATGAACAAATATCTGAAAATGAACATTACGTTGCTTCAGAACACTACGTTGATTTGAAATGAACATTTGTTGTGTGTTCCTAGCTCTAGGTCCGAATGTACAATGCAGGCTCTTTGTGAACTGCTCCTTTGAGTAGTTATTTTTTCCTATTGCGTGTTCTTATTCTTTGATTTTAGGGATTCATTTTGACCATTTGTGTATTGCTTTTATGGTGTGTTGTGTTTCATCATGTTGCTGCTTATCCTGGTATTCTGGAATCTGGATAGACCATTTTTGAACAAATAGAACCAAAAGGTTAATTCTAAACAAAGGCTTTTTAAATAAAGAAACTGATGTATTTTTATTATTTTAATGTTTAGCCTACTTGAGAAATTTTCTCTACATAATACCACATGATATTCCATTTGTCACATTTTATCGTGTCTACTTTGATTGGGGCACACTTTGAGAAAGTGAACTTTTTTTTACTTAGATTTATGAAGATAATAGAGAAATATTATGAACCATTTTATGCTTTCTTTGGTGCAAGGGCTGAAGACTGTGCATCCAAAACACTCAGCTTGAAGTATTAGTGTCACCGTTGGACTTGTAGACACCCCCTCCCAAAATTTTGGTATCCAGAAGCACACATTTGAAGCATAAATCGTTGCGCACCACGTTCACGCGACAAATGTAATGAAGCGACAACACGGCTTTAGCTTTACTGACTGGGAAGGCTTTCACCTTGTCCTTTGGTAAGTGTAGCCAGTTGTGCAGAATATGTTTGGACATGTATTGTAAACCAAGAGGTGGGATTGTGAAACGGTCGGAGAGAGCATCGGTTTGGTTCGGTCGGTTTCGGCCTAAAACTGAATTAACTCACATTAACCGACCGAACCGAATCAAAGTTACTTTATAACCGAACCAACCGAATCGAGAAAAATAGATTCAGTTCGGTCGATTCTGAAAAAACCAAAATTGTCCAGTGCTAATACTTGAAACATTGCCAAACATTTGAACGTTCTGCCAATACTAATACCTACTGCCAATTGGCTAACATAAGAACTATTTTGAATTTTTTAAGTACTAGACTACTACCTAGTGGCTACTGCAAAAAATATCCAGTAGATGAAAACAAAGTAGTAAACATCCAAGTTAAAAATATCCCTCAAGGCTCAAACTATCCCAAAATGACAAAAACACACTATCTCTTAAGGCTCAAAGAGAACATCCAAACGACCAAAAGGCAATAATAATATTAATAACAATCCAAGTAGTGATTTAAAGAATATGAAACTCTAAATACTCCCATGAGTGGCCATGACTTCGATGCTCGATTCCGTCAAAACAACATGTCACCAATCACCATCATTCTCTTTCTGAAGGAAAAAAATTTATTAACATGCAATCCACTTGGAAATCGCTTTTTCGGGGCGTCGACCCAACGGACTTAGTACCAGGTCGGCACCGCACCGAATAACAAAATCCAGAAAATAAATAAATAAATAAAGTGGAAAGAAAGTATTTATACGTGGAAACTCAAATTGGGAAAAAAATATGGGTCTTTTTAGGTGGTGCCATGCCCAGAGGAGGATTTTTAATAATCTTGGGAGAATTTATATATACATCATTGGAAGAACTTGGAGCCATTAATGGAGCTCCAGAACTCAAAGGGAAGAAGGAAGAAGAATAGTAATAGGAGCTCTCTCTATGTAGAAAATTGGCCTCCTCTTCTCCTCTCCGTAGCTTCACATTTAAATAGGAAAGAGAGTGATTGATGAAGACAAAAGAGGACATCCTCCATCTGAAGCCCATGTGGTTTTCATGTGATAATATATTCTGCGGGTCCCGTTGAATATCTTTATATCACTTCAAATATATTCTTCTGCACATATATCTCTAGCCCCGTCTTGAATAATTTATCTGATTTATATCTTGTACTGTTCAAATAGAATTTGATTCGATAAAATCCCTAATCCATCACCACTAAAATTGAATGAATGTGAATTCACCAAGGTTCCCATGACATTGGGAACCAATGTCATGGGATGACTCAGGGGCGCTCGGGTGCTCCGTTCGTAAAATTAACGATTCCTACCCCATAGGAGTAAAACATAAAAATACAAAAAAAGGTTCTATGTCTTTATTCCAAAAAAATAGGAGTTACAATGAAAATAAAAGCTCAATCATGAAAGAAAAAATAGGTTAGATTATATTATGTGACGTGTTTGATATTAAAAACAAAATCTTGTAATATATAAAGTATAATTACAAATATATTATTTATAATAAATATTGCATAAATAAATTGAGGTGCAACGTAACCAAAATAATTCTTTAAATTCAACATTTTAATATTTATGCTAACTTTATACTATAATAATTTTTTTTTTGCAAAAGTAGGTTTTTGTGTATGAAAAATAACAATACTTTTTTTATCTTAAAAACATTCATTAAGATAACATGATGATGATGATGATGATAATAATAATAATAATAATAACAACAACAGTAATATAAAAATATACTAAAATAATTTTTAAAGTTTTTTTAGGTTTTCCAATTTTTTGAAGTTTTTCCAGTTTCTTATAGGTCCTTCCACTTTCTTATAGTATTTTCCAGTTTCTTCTAGTTTCTTCAAGTTGCTTCCAGTTTCTTACCGTTTCTTCCAGTTCCTTATAGTTTCTTCCAGTTCTTCTAGTTTCTTCAAGTTCTTTCTAGATTCTTCCAACATTCATCTCTTTTTTTTCAGTCCTAAAGAACAGACTCTTAGTAAGAAAATATAGAGTTAGACATAAGATACCCACTACCTACCAACCTCAAACTAATGGTCAATTTGAGGTTTCAAATAGAGAAATAAAGCAAATTTTGGAGAAAACCATGAATCCTTCACGGAGAGATTGGACTTTGAGACTACCTGATGCATTATGGGCGTATCAAACAACATATAAGACACCACTTGGAATGTCTCCGTTTAGACTCATGTATGGAAAGGCTAGCCACTTACCGGTAAAACTTTGGACAAAGCATGGTGGGCTATAAAATAATGCAATTTCAATATCGATAAGGCAGGAGTTCATTAGAACAAAGTTTCCGTTACAAAAATTGGAGGAAAGGAGGAATGATTCTTATGAGAATTCTACAATATATAAAGAGAAAACCAAGAAATGACATGACAACATGATAACTAGGAAATCATTCTACGAACGCCAAAATGTGTTATTGTTCTAATTAAGGTTGAAATTGTTTCCTGGTAAGCTTTGCTCTCGTTGGGCGGGGCCTTTCGAGGGTGTGAAGATTTATGCACATGGTGCTACAGAAATAAAGGATCCTAAGAACTCTAAAATCATCAAGGTCAATGGACACTACTTGAAGTCGTAATGTGAAGGTTTTTCAGCTTATTTGGTAGAAACAGAGGTGTTGATTTAACTTGATTACAATGGATGATTCCTTGGTGATTGTGTTGAGCAAACGACATTAAACAAAAGCGTTTATCGTGAGGCAACCCAATTATGATTTATCCTATCTCTGTTATGTATTTATTTTTTAGTTCTTATTTTTAATTTTTTTATTACTTAGTTTTTATTATTAATTGAATTTCTTTTTCCAGAAATTGAATAAAGCCACATATTTCTACTATTCATGAGAGCGTGGAAACCAGGGAAAAAATTTCTAGGTTGAAGAAAGAATTAAATTCCAGAGTTGTACCAAAGGAGCTCAACATTTTTCAGGGAACCTACTAATAATTGTTTTTACAATTCTATTTGTTTCTCTTATCAACCCACTCTCATGGTGTACATCTTTTTGTATCTTATTTCTCATGATCTTTGTTGCATGTTTGACAATTCACATCACTTCTTAATTTCTTTATTTTTGACATACATTGAGGGCAATGCATGAGTTAAGTGTATGTGGGGACGCTTTCAGCATTTATTTTGTGTATTTTCAAGAATTAATTTGTCTATTTAATTTTCAAGAGTTCAGGTCTATAGACACATCTTACATAGTGATCATTTGGAAAAGAGCTTAAAGCATATATTTGTTAAGAAAACTTATTAAATCTGTTGGGAAAAGTTGTTTGAGAAAAAAAATACGGATTAAAATATAGAAGGAGAGTTGTTTTACCTCTTGTATTCAAGATGTTTGCATGATTTACATCATCTTTTTACTCCTTTTTCTTGGCCAAAGATTTTGGAAATTTGTATTAACTTTTAACAAAAATGGGCCAAATTTTAAATTTTTAGAAATTTTTAATTGTCTAATTTTTAAGGTTGTTTAATCACGTAGAATGCTCTTTAGTAAAGATTCTTTCTCCCTTATTTAGTAGCTTAGGCTCTGTTCTGTACATTTGATCTGATTGAATCTGATATGAAATTCTGAAATTCTGATCTGATCTGATCTGATTGGGTCTAGTCTGATTTAATTAGATTTGATCTGATCTGATTCGGTCTGATCTTATCTGATTCGGTCTGATCTGATCTGATTGGATCTGATCTGATCTAATTTCGTCTCTTCTGATCAGATTGAAACTGATCAAATCTGGTTGGATCTGATCTGATCTAATTCAATCTGATTTTATCTAATTAGATCTGGTGTAAATGAATTTAAATTTGATTTAAATTAAACTTAAAATTATTACAAAACTTAATATATTTAAAGTATTACAATTCATATATACATAAAAAAAGTAAAATAAGAAAATCATATAATCATTGATATATTTAAACTTTTTTCAAAAATATTAAACATCTTTTCAATATCACTAATTTTTTAATTTTTTTGAAAACTAAAAAATCGGTATTAAAATAACCAAATATTAGAAAATATGGATGCTGTTCTACAAAAATATCACATTCTATATGCATATTACATAGTAATATATTTCATGTTACAATTTAAAGATCATTTAAGATCTTAAACACTAATATTTCTTGCACCTCTATCAATTTGTCATAAACTCACCCTTGTGTATTTTATACCATCTTAAGATTTAAAAGTAAGTCTTTTGAAAGCTAACTTTTGTATAATTATTTTATAAACAAGTATTTTAAAACAACTATTTTTAAAGTATGGAAAAATACAATTTTTTATGTTTTAACATTACTTCCATACATCATTTCTACAAGCTGAGCAATTATTAAAAATAACAACTTGTAGTTAAAATAGAAAAATGATAATAATAATAATAATAATAATAATAATAATATAACAATAATAATAGTGATTAAGATTATAATATTAATGAAGATTGAGGTCTGTGTAGCTTTAAATAAAGTAATGTGAATTAGTCAAATAATAGTAATTATTTTTAATCATTGAAAAATATAAATATTATTTTTTATATTTTTCCTGATTTGATATTATTGGATTTGATCTGGTCTGATCTGATTCGATCTGATCTGATCTGATTGAATTAGATCTGATCTAAATGAATCAATTGAATCTGATATGATTGGATCTGCTATAATTTGATTAGGTCTGATCTAAACGGATCCTTAGTGAACGGACCCTTAGTCAATTCATTGTCCAAATAATATTCATAAACCATTGTTATCCAAAACCTTATTTACCTTTTATACATTTTTTTATCTCTACATAATTAGGTCCTGAGTAGTATCTTAAGGATAGAAAGTTTGGATATAATCGGTAAAGTAGCTCTTCTCGACCTTTTATTTTTTGATGGGTTGATGACTAATTTAGTAAAATTCAATTTGTTAAAAAAATATAAAAATTTAAAATAGAATTGTTGTCGTTTTTAATTTGTTAAAAAAATACTCCGTACTAGGGAGTATAAAAATTTAAAATTGAATTGTTATCCTATTGATGTAGGAAAAGGGGTGTAAAATAGAGGAGTTGGGTTGGGCTCATAAAATAAGAGGTGTAGGAGAGAAGTAGTCCTTCCTTTAGTCCAGAGCCGGCCCAATTTAGGACAAACAGTCCGTCCGGATTGGCCCATGATTAAAATGGGCCCAATTAATTTTTAATATTATGTATGTACATAAGAAGCCCAGCACGCATCCCAATGTCAAAAGCCCATCTCATTAGCCGCCCCCTCCCTTCCTATTTTGTAGAGGCGCAGAAGCTAGAAGGAGAGTGCCGACTGCTGAGAACGCCGCCGGTAGAGAGGAGGCGCAGAAGCTGGAAGGAGAGTTCCGACTGCTGAGAACGCCGCCGGTAGAGAGGAGGCGCAGAAGCTGGAAGGAGAGTGCCGACTGCTGAGAACGCCGCCGGTAGAGAGGAGGCGCAGAAGCTGGAAGGAGAGTTCCGACTGCTGAGAACGCCGCCGGTAGAGAGGAGGCGCAGAAGCTGGAAGGAGAGTGCCGACTGCTGAGAACGCCGCCGGTAGAGAGGAGGCGCAGAAGCTGGAAGGAGAGTGCCGACCGCTGAGAACGCCGCCGGTATAGAGACGCCGCCGACGCTGCCGCCAGACACCGCTGCACCCTCCAGGTATTCCGTATTCACTATCTTTCCAATTTAGTAATTTTTTTCTAATTTTCTTTCTTTCATTGTTTCAATCTTTGGATTTAAAATCTAGGGTTACTTATTAATTTTCAGTTTGAAATCTTTGCTAATTGCTATAAAATATGAATGAATTAATGGTTCTATATATTCTTTATTTGATTTGGATGAATTGATTTGAATTTATGATATATATATATATATATATATATATATATCTTAAATTCATGTCAATTTGTCAACTTTTCAGTTTTATATATATATATATATATATATATATGTATATATGTATATATGTATATATATATATATATATATATATATATATATATATATATATATAAACTGAAAAGTTGACAAATTGACATGAATTTAAGATATATATAAAAAGACTGAAAACTGAAAAAGAAAAAAAACTGAAAAAAAGAAGAATTGAATCAATTGATATGAGTTTATGATATATGAATTTATTTGCTTGCTTTTCCTTATTTGATTTTACTAAGTAGTAAAATTTATGAATTTGAATTTTATTTCAAAAATAATTCAATAGATTGGTCCTAACATCTATCCGGTAGTCAAAAACATAAAAAGAGAAAACGAGATGAAGATTGAGAAAGTCTCAAACCGGATAAGAAACGCTTTGGTCATTTATTTATTTTCTTCTAATAATATTACTTTAATTATCATTTATATATAATTAGTTTACATATGTTAATTTGTTAGACTTAATATTTAGGGCCTTTTTTTATCTCGGCCCAAGCCGTTGAATTCCTCCTAGCTAAGTCTGTCCGTAGTCCACCACGAAGAGCTTCCGTAAGCTGAGGTGATTTTGCCACATTGGCAGTGAACATCGCCCCTCCATCCTGCGCGATCTGCATGAGAAGAGTCACCGTGGGCACGACCACAAAATTGGGAAGGTAAGATTTTTTTGTTGTTTTCTTTTCATTTAATTTTTGTACTGTAGTATCTATTTTGTCCATAACTTTTTGTGTGTAAATCATTACTTGTTACATAATATGTCGTTGGAAATATTTTCGCAAGATCTACCAACAAGATTACAACAACAACAACAACAATAAAAACATTACCCCGGTGGCTCAATAGCTCCTGCCCATTGTGGGGTAAGGAGGGGTCGGATGTACGTATTCTGACCCCTATGTTTAAGACATAGAGCAGCTGTTTTCAGATGACCCATGATGAGCATCGAAAGTTGTATGGACTAACTGCTACTTCACAATTGCAAGAAGTGCAGGCAATTTAAAAAGCCAATTTTCTTTATTCCATCATACTCCTAAGAAAAAAAATACTGAATCTTTGGCTCCATAGGGGAATGGAAATAACCATCGAGATTAATATTGCATTATTAATTTTCATGTTATGTCTCATGTTTTTTGCTCAGACACTTAAAATTTGAACGAATTTTGTTTTATTATTTTATTTTTGTAATGAAAACAATTTTAAGTTTAAATTATAATATCTTGTTTTTTCACTTTTTAAATTCAACTAGTTTATGTTTTTTTATGCTATAAAAAAGTAAAAGAAAAAAGGTATTCTTAAACAGAAAATATAAGTGAGGCAAAATAATAAAGTAGTTTTTATTATTATTATTTTTCCTTTTTTATAAACAAAATAGTGTAGAAGTTATACATATAAAATAGGACCAAAAAAATTCAACAAGTACTATATAAAAAAAATGGAAATATTAAAAAAAAAATAAATAAAATATCGATTAAAAAGTCAGAGATTGAAAAATAAAAAATAATAAATTTTTAATTTTAAATTAAAAGATGTAATTTAATATGAAGAGAAATATGTAAATGTTAAATAAAAAATTAAATTGGAATCATTGCACTGGATATGAGGCATTACGGGTGTGAATTTAGTTAGATGATGAGCGGAGTTAACGCTGATGTAGCCTTGAGTGCTTGTTGATTTAGAGTGAATAGTGGTGGAGTGATAAAGAAAGCCTAATGATGATGTCCTTAGGCAAGGCGTAATGCCCCACCACCACCTTCTTGTGGTCCACTGTGACGTTGCCAGTGGGAACCAAGCCCTCATATAGATTTCCATCTCCAGGTGCAGGCCTTGATTTTGGATTTGAATTTTAAGCTAACAACGATTTTATATATTGTGTTTCTTACGTTTTGTTTTGATTTTTTTTGTATTGTTTTGATTGAAGAAGACCTCGTTGTTTCCACTGGTTTCATTGCTTTCATGCTGCCCTTCAAATTGAACAACTCTTTCAAATTTAACTAACCCTTTGCAAATTTAACAATATTTGTAATTTGAAAGGCGAGCTACGCTGTAAGGCTGTAATGAATCTGGTGATGGTTTGAGGAAGTTCATGTTTCTATCACTTTGAAAGTTATGCTATAGAATTTAAATTGAACAACCCTTTGGAAATTCAATATCAAGCCTTTGCAAAATATAACCATACTTCTGGTTTCTATTAAATCTTTCTTAATCTGCTTTAGGGAATTAGAGTTTCATGGGTTGAGGAAGTTTGATCAGTAGCTAGGACCCGTTGACCCGCGGAATCATCCTGTTTCAAACAAGCCGGGTTAGGGCCGGTTCCAATTTTAAAGTTTAAAGGACCAGTCCCGTGTTGATTAAAAGTAGCCGGGGCCGGGTTTGAAAAATCTTGGCCCGAACCGGCCCATACCCACCCCTATATTTAATAACACTACTCCCTCCCCTATATATAATAACAGTACTCCCTCGGTCCATAAATAAATGCAGTTTACGAATTATGATGTGTGACTAAATTTTTTTTAAAAATTTATCTGAACATTTGCATAAAATTTAAAACTAAAATATACACATTCAAAAACTACACTAAATGCTCTAGAGAATAAGTGGTAATCTTATTTGTCCAAATATTTCTCCCCATCTTTACTATATATATATCCAATCAAAATATTTTTTATGATATGTACTCCATATTAGTATCAACTATGTTTTTAATAGATAAAATAATAAAATATGGACTTGAAGATTGTGAATACTTTAGAAACAACAATCATAATAGTACAATAAATAGAATGAAGAAATCTTTTTCATATGAGTAATATCTACTTATATTTTTTAGTTACTAAATACTTCCTCCGTCAGTAATTAATAGTCCACATTTTGTTCGACCACAGAGTTTAAAAAAGTGAAATTGTGTTTGTGAAAGTGATGCACAAAAGAGAGAAAATATATGAGCTACAAAAAACTCTTCCAAAGGTGGAAAGAGGACTATTTTTTGGGAGGTTCCAAAAAAGAAATGAGGACTGTTAGTTCAGGACAAAGGGAGCATTGCATTATTTTAAACAAATATGTATATAAAAAATTTAGCTTAGTTGGTTGAGATATTAATGTAATACTCCCTATTAATAAGGTTTAGTGTTCCAATCCTATTGGAACCTTAATATATTTTTGGCTACTTTTTAGAGAAAAAAATTATTTAAAACTGGTTTAGCAATTCGAATCGGTTTCTCGATAGTCGATACACAATACAGTCCAAAATAGAGAACCGGGCCGGTTTATCCAACATGCCGATCCCGTTTTTATTACTATGAGATCACCCATTTTTCTTCTTTCGGCTATCGATGCCCCACCTCTCTCCTAAGTTTTTATTTGGTGTCTACCCTCACCCACAAGTTTGCTGTTCGGCCACATTGGCATTGCCCATACATCGAAATGCCATCCCTGCCTCATGTAAGTCTAATCTACGGTGTATCTTCCAATGGATTTTTGAAAAATTTAATCAAGACATTTATGAAGTTTGAATATAAAGATGCATGGATATTTTGATGCATCTGGAAAATAATTATTTTTTAGATATGTTGATTTATTTCATGAATGTCTGTTAACTTGAAACCATTGATTTTTTATATGCTCATTTTCATCCTTGATTGTTGATGGAATTCTGTGGTTGGATAGATGGATTCTTTAGGAATTTCAGAATGGTTTTATTTACAGTAGGAAGCCAATTTTTTTTATAAAGTGGAATCTTTTCATTTACAGTTCCTTTTGTAACCACAATCTATTGAACTTGAAAATTAGATCTCATTCAGATTTCAGTGTTTGCTTTATGCACTTAAACTTTCATCTATATGTTTCAGCTATCAAGAAATATTTTTCTCAGTACTTCTGTTATATTAGCGATTTGTATTAATGATAGATTTGTTTTTTTTCTTCAGAGGGGGTGTAATACTGAAATTCCTTGCCAAATTGAACTGAAAGCTGCATAGATCATAGTCACTTAAACTTTACACCCTTCCTTCTATCACTTTCTACATCGCCGATACCATGGCGGAGCTAGACCCTTCCGCCGCTACGTCATCGAGCATATTCTTTCAGAACAAATTTCCTCCACCGGACGACACAGTGTTCTTCTCCATCTTTCCCGACTTTTCTGTACACTCCCCTACTTCCCCTACGATCAATTCCGAACTTCAGGCTCTCCACCTTCAGATCATCCAGATCATATCTCCTTTCACCTCCAACTACATATGGCAACATGAACCCTTCGATCTATGCCTCTCAACTACTTCCCCGCCCCATCTCGGTGGCAAGGTCCGCTTTGGCGATAACCTTGAAGATGAATGGTTTGTGGTATTCCTCCTGTTCGAGATTTCTAGAAACTTCAGGAACCTCTCAATTCGCGTTTGGGACAGCGATGGTGAGTTCCTACTCATTGAAACTGCCTTCCATCTCCCTCGGTGGCTCAACCCCGACACCGCCAGTAATCGCGTTTTTATCCGGTGTGGTGGCCTTCACATTATTCCCAAATCCATCTTCCCTGACACCCCAAACATTCAAGACGCTCTTAGGTTTTTAATAGAAGGAAAGAAGACCAAAGCCCCAGAGCCCGTGCAACTTCAATTGGTGAATAGGTTGAAACAGTACCCCCTGAGAGCAGAGAAGAACATGCAGAGAGTTAGGGTTAGAGTCCCGTTATCTGTTGCACAAGTGTTGAAGCATGAGCCGTGCTTAATTTCACTAGCTGTGGAGGGATTTTATGACAGGGATATTGATACAATGAAGTTTGCGGCTAAGATGGAGAGGTTTCTAATGAATGGAAGTGGGGAAGAACTGGTGCAGGTGGTTGTGAGGATGTCCAGGGCAATGTATGCCCAATTGGTACAGCAGACCTTCCAAGCCCCTAAATGCTACCCGCCATTGCCTCCTAGAACTGACTTGGGAGCATATTTGGAGGCTGAGCTGGGGATGAAGATTGCATGTGGATTTGAGATGATGTACCAGTTAAGGAAGAGACAGGGAATGGAGGGGAAAGGGAGGACATGGGAGGCTTTCCTAAGAAGTCTGGAAAAGAGTGGGTATTTTGAAGGGTTGATGCCAGGGTCCCAGGAGTACAAGAGATTGATGCAGAATGCCGAAGAGTACTACAGGAACAGCTCATTGCAAGCCAGAACAAGGTTTGTTTACTTTGTTATATCATGTCCCTTAAATTATTTGACTGACGAAATATGGACATTTGCTTTCTTGTACGGGTTATCAGTTCTCTACTAATTTCAACGTGTTCCATCCACACCATGCAGTATGTTAATTGTTTTGTGGATGATGCATTTTGAGCTGTTTAAAAATTTCAAAGCACATACATCCTGAATTGTGAAATTTTCAGTCTACTGACTTATGGTCGCATGGTTTGGTTTGTCTTCCCACCTTTTTACAAGTGATGTATTAAGCAATTCATGTCTGCATCTGCACTTTGTGCATTCATCATAATCTACTTCATTCCCCGTTGTGCATTAATCTAGGCCGCCTTAGTTCTGTCATTTGGCAGCTCTTTTTGCGGCTGGGAGTTCCATTTCTATCCTATCAGCTCCATTTTGGAGCTGCCACTAGAGTACTAGGTACTGTAGTGTTGCAGGCTAGCAGCTACATTACTCAGTTTTTGAATAAATCCCACCAAACCTTTTTTAAAAACCTACCTTTTCAATCTCAAACATTCACCTATTTCTAAAAAACACCATATTGTAATTTCACATCACCATTGAATGGAAATTGCTCAAATGGCAATATCTCAAACGAACACATTTGAACTAAACACCCCCCCAATCTGGTTCCTCACTTAGCATTACTATATGTTGCTGTTAATCTATCAACGGTTCTGTGATGCTTTTATTTCCACACTATTTTTGTGCAAGTAAGATTTCTTGGCCTACTTCTGAAAATTGCAGCGAGGTGTTGAGTGTTCCAGTAAGACGCATAGACGAGATTCTTGCTCTTCCTCATTCTGTGGATGATTTTAAGAATCAGCAACTACCACCATCAGATGATGACTCATGGCTTTATGGGGGAGAAGATGAGCTAAATGCTGTTCTTCAAGAGAGGCAGCAGGAGATGGAAGACTATAATTCAAAGCAGAAAAAGAAACAAAATTCAAAAGAAAATCAGGATAGTTCAGACAAGCTAGATGATTACAATCTTAGGAACATTTCAGAATCCATGCAAGCTTTTGTCAAGAAGATGTCAAGCTACAAAGGAGCAAAGGTTCCAAAAAGCAGGTAGTGTTTTTTTCTTCTTTTAAAAAACACTCTGTAGTACCATCATTATATTCAGTGTTGTCTTTGAGTTAATTTTATATCAATACCAGAATGTGTGATAGAGGTCACAATGTTACGTTGCATGATGAGATTCTCATCAATGCAACTCTCGACGCTCATCATGGGTCATTTGGAAACAGTTGCTCTATGTTTTAATTATAGGGGTCAGGCTGCTTACATTCAACCCCCCTCCACTTGCAATAGGTAGGAGCCTTCAAGGCATTGTGATAATGTTGTTGTTGCTCATTGCCCTATCATATGTTGATTCTTGAATCAATGGGAATTTGGACCATTAGGTGTGTGAAAAATCAGTGAGATCCATAACTGGTTAACATATTGTCAAGTTTGAGCATTCGTATAAATACCACTGCATCTGAATATTTTTTTTCCATACACGGGGCCATGGCGGTCTGGAGAATATAACTCACATAAGATGACCACAGTAGCAATGTGATGGGTAACATGATCATTCAGGGGAAGAAAGATATGGTCAAGGTAGTAACTATTCATTGGAGTACCAGAAACTGAAGGACCTTATTTGACGGAACCACTAAATGATTACTAGTTGGAAGTTGCAGCAATGTTTTAGTAAATATTGTTTTCATGTCAAGCGAGATGTAATGCAGATGGTTATGCCTGTATTAACTATCACCGCGAACTAGTGCTTATTAGAGCCATAACATCCATGTAGATTGTAGACAAGGTGATTGAATTTACAGTTTAAGGACTCAGGTTCAAGATTTAATTTGTGGACTCATGTTGGGCCTTATGGATCATTACTAAAAAATGGTTTCTGTGACATCATTGCTGAGAATCTTATTTGCTATGTCTCTTGCTGCACTAATTTAAAAGTTCTTTGGTTGTGAACGTGTGATACAGACAAATTGACCCTCTTATCGATAATGTGTGTGTGTGTGTGTGTTGATGACAATCTTATTTGTTATTTTTTCTTCAATTGAAGCCTAAGAGATGTGGACTTTGACGTGGATCGGTTTATGCAAGACATTGGTTCCTTGGCTAGGCAATCAGACTCAAAAGACAATGACAGCGAGTGTGATACTGTAGAACAATCAAATTCTGACATGGAATTCGGTAAACTATTAGCAATTTCAAATTTTCAATACCTGTGAGAGAGAGAGAGAGAGTGTGTGTGTGTGTGTGTGTGCGTGTGGGTGTTTGACTGTACATGTTTCTGCATGTGTGTGTGTGGATTAAGGTAAGAACTATGCCAGAAATATACTTGTATATATTTGGAGGCTTCATGTTATTCTAAAAATGAAATCTTTCCTTCGAGCAGCTCTAGTCATTGCACCATCTCATGATTTTGTTGAAAGGATCACTCCAACCTTGACACTAAATCACATGCAATTTCAATTAAATTATGAATAGCTGTTCACCAACGTGGTGAAATATTGTCCATAGACCATTTTTTGTTTTATGTGATGAAAATTTTGATAGAAGGTCAACGTATGTAAAGTGGAGTTTGTTGGATCTTCTTCATCAAAGTAATACATTTGTAGTTAGCTTATATGCTTAACAACTGCATTTTAAAATTGCCATTCCAAAGGTAAAGACTTAATGCGTGTAATTTACTTTGACCTTGCGCAATGCCCTGTTCTTAAACTTGTGTTTTGAAAGCTGTGTACTGAACTTGACTTGTGCTTTGCATGAAGATGAATCTGATGATGAAAGTGATGCTGAAGATAATGACATGGAAGGGGATCCTTTTATGGAGTCCTATTCACACACTTTAAATGAGGAACTGAAAGGCACTTCACTTGGTAAAAGCTTTGCTCGAACAGATGGAAACCATCTCAAGAAAGATGAGGTTAGCCTTTCATTAAATATTTAGTGTCAAGTAGCACATGCAGACTTTGATATAGTCAATGTCACAACTAGGGGTGTCATAAATTGAACATGTTTTAAATACCTAAAGCCTGTTTCGGAACTTGTGGAAAATGAACCAACGTTCCAGAAACATCTTTTCAATTGAAGAAACAGCTCTAAATATTATGGGAAAGGAAAATCACTCTTCCAACAAGTTTTCATGCATCTTAGAAACACACCCTCCGTCCTAAAATGATGTGCCCGTTTGACTTTTTTGGTCAAATTTCATAAACTCTACTAAAATTGCAGGAAATATATATATATATATATATATATATATATATATATATATATATATATATATATATATATATATACTTAAAATGTGAGATTCCATTTGAAATGCCATGCTTTAAAATATTTATTCGCATACAAAGTAGTTATAAACGGTCAAAATGTTGAATCAGAAACTGTGAAAAGTCAAACGTGCACATCTTAATGGGACGGAGGAGGGAATGCGACCCACGGATCTGGTTACCCTTTAGGGGTTTCATTGTAGGTGTGTTGCTAATGATGTCCGTATGTTGGTTCAACGCAGGGAATATCTGGTGCTAGTGCAGAAGGGACGGAGGAGGAAGAGTTGAGGCCCGTGGATGTGGATTTAAACCTTGTGATGAACCTTCTTGATTCATTTTCTTCTCAGCAAGGACTTCCCGGTCCAGCTTCCAACTTGATGGGGCTCATGGGTCTACGATTCCCAGAGGATTCGAAGAGTACTCCTAAAGACAAGTAAGTTATGTACTTTAGGTCTTGTTTGGTACACGGAATTCAAACTATGGAATTGGAATTGAGGACTTCAATTTCAATTCTGGTGTTTGGTAGCACAAAAATTATGTGGATTTGAAATTAATAGTGCAAAAAATGAATTGGAATTGGTGAATTCAGTTCTATGGAATTGAATCCCATGGAATTCCAATTCTAATTCAATTCCAATTCTATCAATTCCGTATACCAAACGGACCCTTAGAGTTAAATTCGGGATCATAACTGCACTACATCTCTCTGTTTTAAACAAAAAAACACAGACTGGTTCATGCTGGGAAGGAGCATTGTGCTTTTGGGATAATTGGTTTGCCCGATTTGATGTTTTCACACTTATTCACATGAGGAATATGTACACACTAAAATTTGAAAGCAGTAATTAACAATGCTGTGCCCTTTCCTCCAATAGCTAACCCCTGAAATCTAAACATCACTCAGGGTCAACCTTCTCACAATCTTTTTCTTGGTTTTTTTTCCCGATTGATGGAAACAGAAAAAGTTGCATTAAATAAATACTAAATAGTGAAGAGAAATAATCAATGGCTTAAAAAATTTTCATGTGAGGGAAGCCACTGCTCCATCATGTGTTTCTTGCCCTCTGCAAATGCAATCAAAACAAGAACATCAACTAGAGCTGATATGTATATGTGTGTGTGTGTGTGCGTGTGCACGCGTGCGTGTGTAAAATCACAGAAAGAAAGTAGAAGAGGAAGAAATGGTTCATTACCAAGGGAAGACTCATTGGCAATTGTCTTAATGGCCCTGAAGAAGTGATTGCTTGGATCATCATGGCCTAATTCCCTGCGGTCAAACCTATAGCAAGGAACCAACACAGCAAAAGTATTGTCCTCTTCTTTTTCTTCCTCATCATCATCATAGAAATCCGGATTGTGCGGTTCCAGCCACCCAATCGACCAGTCCGACTCATCGGATTCCGATCCCGACAAACAAACATCGTCGGATCGGACCAATACCATGTCGTACTCCTTATCAACCCTCCTCCTTTCTTCCACACTGACCCGTTTCCCCCTCCCCCGCCGGAGCTCCAAACTCTCCGGTTGCCCGGGCCCACAATCCGGCAAGGTATTTACAGAAGACCCTTTAGGTGTTGACTCTTTTTTCTGCTTTCCACCCCACCAGAGACGAGACAGGGAAAGGGCCATTGATTCGATCAGCGTAAAAGGGAGATTTGTTTGCATTAAACTGTACAATGAAGTTCAGAAAAGAGAATGAACTGTTCTTGCATATTTTGACGTTAATAAATGATAGGAAAAAAAAAGGATCTTGAGAAAAGGAGAAAAAGGTGAGACTGCCGGACGTCCGGTAACCGGAGCTTGCTTTTGCCGGTAATTGAATAATTACATCGGAAAAGGGAGAATCTCCGATTGAGTAGTACTCCGCTACTACTCATAGGCCCAACTCGGTTCCTCCATAACTCTCTTTCTCTCTCCTCCCCAAATCCCCACGCCCCCTGCTTTGGCAGTTAGGATAGCTATGGCGGGGCCAACATTTATAGGGGAATGATGATTGAGTGAGAACTGCATTTTGATCCCCATAGTTTGTCTTATTTGCATTCTTGCAAATTATACCATGAGCAAAAAAAAAAAAAAGAAAGAAAAACAAAAAAATTGAGCTCTATCCCTGAAGGCTCATTTTTACTGAACAAGGACATCTCAAGGGTTGAGTGCGGTCCGTGATGGTTCGGAATTTTCACAGAACTTGTACAGTACAATTATTCTTTAGTTAAAAAATAATTTTATTCGTACAAAAAATATCAATTGAGGTAAAAATGTTTGGTGCATTAATGTGTTTTTATGTCTTCACAACATTTGTATGGTTCAGTAATAGAATAAGTTTTTATCCTCAAAATATGACTTCATAAGTTTGTATTCCCTACTTTAAATCATAGTAGAAAAACAAAAAAGGAGGCTCATATTTTTATTCTTTAATACTAGAAATAAGAAAATTTAAAAAATGAAGTTTGATCATGTGAATAGTAAAATTTAAGGTTCGGTTTACGAAGTTTGACTGAAATTATTTTTAATTCAATTTATTAGATTAAAGGTGTAAAATTAAAAAAATAAAAATTGTATATTTTAAAACTGCATCGAAAGTTCTACAAAATAAGAGGTGACATGATTATACTGTTTTACTAACTAACGAAAATAGGTAAAGAAAGTGATTATATGTTTACCATTTATATGCAATTTAAATTGGGATGGAAGGAGCATTTTTATTTTTTAATTCTATACTATTTTTCATATAAAATCATTTAAAAAATAATTTTAGTTAAACATCGTTAACCAAAACAAGCAATTTAAATTGGGATGGAGGGAGTATCTCATATTATATTTTTCTACTTTTAAAATATATTTTTTACAAATTTGAATACTGGTTTGATATATTTTTTTTGTTTTCCATTATTTTAAATTGCTCTAAACTACTCCGTAATTCTGGCCGGAACCTTCGTCATACACTTTACTTTAAAGGTGTCCATCGTCATATTCATATATATTCTTGAATCTCCCATTGGATTTAAACGTATATACGATTGTAACATGAAAAATATATAATTACTTTGCCCTATATAGTATATACTCCCTATCTAATGGGAATGTTTAAAATTTTATTTTTTCAAGTTTAATCTATGGAGCTATTTCTTTGTACTGGTGCTTGTTACCTTATTATTAGGGAGATAATTTTGTAAATAATTTGATCAAAATGGAGAAATAAAAAAAACTAACTTAAAAATAAGTAGGTAAAACTTGAAAATTCTTATTTCAACAAATGGACCTTCTCACAATTTTTTTTATTTTTAAAAATGATTATTTCAACATTGAAAATGCTTATTTAGCATGGACCTTAGTGTATTTAATAATTTAATTAGTTTATAAGCACCAAAAAACATGTCATCAACTTACATATAAAAATAGTTTATAAGTAATTTTGACCATCTTAAAAGTATTGAAAAACATTAGATATTGAAAATGCGGTTATACGAAAATGCAAGTTTGGGCGTAGCTCGACTTGGATGTGGCAAGTAGAGCGGTTAGTGATTTTGATATCTGATTCGTAGTGAGGGATCGGATTTGGAGGATTCTTTTGTCGTCAACCTCATCTTACTTAACCTAACCTAACAACATTATCCTCTGATTCTAATAATCCTCTTGCTGGCAGTTCCTCTCATTACATGATAATGATCTCATAAAAACATAGCCTATTCTCTCCTTTTTAGTTTGTTGTTAGATACAGTAAATATTCCCTTCTTTTTAAAGAAACTACAAAAAAAGAATTACGTTTCTTATTCTCTTGTTTTCTTATTGTATTGTTATTATAATTCTTTTCATATTATAATTAGAACTTTTTCTTGTAATTCCTATCAATATGAATGTATTCTTTATTATTCAATAAGATCAATTATTATCGTATTGTATCATGGTATCAGAGCTAATGTTCTGGAAAACATAGCTCTTCCTTTTTCGATCGAGCACATCGCCGGTCTCTGTTCATGGTGGTCGATCGTCCGACAGCATGACGTCACCAACGGATCTCGATGAGCGTGCCTAATAGCCGCCGCCCATTATCCATCCATTTTTCTCAAAAAAATTCATTATCTCTTTCTTCCAAAAAATTATGTGGGTGATTGAAGAACGGGAAAGTTACATCTATATGTGTTTTACTCTAGAGATCGAGAACATGGAAAATGATAGAGAAGTAAAGAATGGCCCAAAAGGAGAAAAAAACTCTTCGCCCTCACTCCAATCGCCAATGCTCTCACTGGAAATAAATTAAGAAAACGTAATTTCAAGCTTGTTTGTCATGCAACAAAGATCTCGTTCTCTACTTCTAGAGGCTTTCCTCACAGAATTGTTTCAACCGGCTCAATTCCGTAACCTGTCTAGCAAACTATTCCTCATTACCGATAATCAGCTTGTGGGAAAATAATAGAAAATAATATAAATTATTAATTACATTTCTTATTCTCTTGTTTCCTTATTGTATTATTACTATAATTCTTTTTCTTACTATGATTAGAACTCTCTCTTGTAATCCCTATATATAGGAATGTATTCTTTATTATTCAATAAGATCAATTATTATCAAATTGTATCACTCTATAGGATTATTCTTGTATAAATACAGAATATTTTCATACAAAATTTTAATGATATTACATAATTATCTTACTTTTTTCAATTTTTTTACATATTTAATTTTGTTTATTCGTAGTATTAATAACTGGTCATCAAAATTACTTAAAACTTCAACAAATAAATGTCCAAGTAAGCTTGATCGAACTCGAACCCTCGTGACCTACGGTTAGCTCTAGACTCTAGTAAATACTATCCCCGTATATCCACCTGGCATCTCAAAAAACTGCCCCATACATTTTACTTCAAACTGCCTAATTTCTCAGTTCAAACTTTCCCTCTTGGATCCTCGCCGGCGCTTCTCATTCATCGGATTTAGTTTCGGGAGTTCGGAGAGTTATTGTTCGACAGATCATCTGGTTTGCGTCAATGGAGGAAGGGGAACAGATTGATCTCGAAATCAAAGATCATAGCATCTCCAATGTTTCGCTGGAGAATGATAATTTCGTTCTCAACTTGTCTTCTTCCCAGCTTCTTCAGGCGATCAGCCTCAATCAACCAGGTTCTTCATCTGTAGGCATTCATTGTGCCATCTTTATTTGATTACGATTGAATTGAGATGAGAGTTTTGGTTTTGAATGAAGTAAAGATCAATGTAGAAATCTGAACACTACTTTCTGTAGGATCGCAATTTTAGTCTTAATTACCTCAAGTATGTGTTCGATTAATATGTCTGATTTTTTGCTCGAATGATGAGTCCTTATACCGTACATCCGGATGCAAGACATTTCCCATACATCCGCAAATAGTCATTTCCGAGTAATAGATACTTATTTTGCATATTTATTAATTTTTGGTGTTTATTCAAAGCATGTACATTATAAAATATTCAGAATGTGTATGTTTATTTGAGAACTACATAATGCTCATTACATTCATAACAAATGTATATTTACGAGTAACACAGTACCCATTTCAACTAAAATAAAGACGATTGTACAACTATAACAAAGAAATATGCGTAATGAGTATTTAGTTACTCGTAAATGAGTATTCGCCGCGGATGTACGGAAAATACTGTAGAGCCGGTTGTATGGTATATATTTCTTTAGAATCATGGATGAAGAAATAATGAAATAGTGTACCCCAAAGGCTTGGTTGAATGTTGTGACAAATTATGGTACAAATAATTCTTTTATGGAAAAAGCAAGGACCAGTTCTCTTCATCTTAAAATGCAATCTTATCTGATTTTTTTATTTGAAATTTAGTATGGATTTGCTTGAATCTTTCTGCCCTGGTTTGAATGTATCATACCAGCTCTAATTTAAATGTTTTTTTATTATGTAGTAAAACAAGTAATAAGCTAAAGTAACGATAAAAGAATAGCACCTAATTTTAGTTTCAGTAAAAAATACTACTTGACTATAGGTCATATAGGATGGTTGTTCTGAATCTGAATGATGTTGTAGATTATGATTTTTTATTAATCTAGAGATGTGTTTCTTTTATCTCATTTTTTTCTTCTAGTGCTACTGTTTCATGTAATCATGTCTCTGGGGATAAGGCTTCTTCTGTTTTTTAATCAGAGAATCAGAAAGAGCCTATATGTTTGGAGTTATTTGAAAATATTGAAGGTCAGGAAGAATCAGATACTTATCCGTGTGATGAAAAGGATGATACCTTTCCTGAAATTTGTGAGACAATTGAACCCGAAAGCCCCAAGTGGAAAGGAAATTTTAAGTTTCGTGAGAGTTTAGCCTGGGATAGCGCTTTCTTCACAGATGCCGGTATTCAAATTCATCTTTTCTTTTTTTGGTTTCAGAATTATCTTTTTCTTTCCTTCGCAGGATACCATTTATTGGAATCCTAATAGAAGTAGTCTCATGGAGGCCATTTTTTTGCAAAAACATTTCCAGGAGTACTAGAACCTGAGGAACTGTCCAGAATGATCAAAAGAACTGAAAATGGTGACAAGCATGATCTGTTTGGAATTGATGAGGATGTAGAACAATCTACTGGTTCATTCACAATATATGGAAGTGATGATCTGAACTTTTGGCAACTTAAGACAGATTCTTGTGAGGATATTAAAGCTTCAACTAATGAATCCTGTAAATTGTCAAATTTGATGATTTCAAGCAGCCACGTGACATCTTCAAAGGAAGTGAATGAGGCTACTTCTGGTAATTGCTTTTTTATCCTTGTGATAAATTTTTAATTTGAACATATTAACCGTCAAATTGTTGACTGGATTATGACTCGTTTTTTTCGTTCACAGCTCTGAATGAGGTTGACTATACTAAAAATAAGGTATGCATAAGTTAACAGCTAGCAAATGTTCAATCTGTTAGTCCATAGTTTGTGACTTATTGTATTCTTAAAAAACAGCTTGTGCCTAAAGTTTCTCCCAAGAGAACTATTGGAGCACAAACTTCTCGGGTGTCGAAAAGCCAGCAAAAACAATTTTGTGCAATACAAGGCTCGGGGAAGTCGGTGGCCGAAACAAGCTCTCAATTAATGCAGGTATGTAATTTTTTTCTTAAACCAGCAATCGAAATTATCTCTTTGAGGACATCAACTAATCCTATTTTAATTAGACAGTTTTCATTGATATGCATTTTTTTAATATGTACAAAATATATTTTTACACTATCGGAAAGAAAACCTGCAAATTTGTTACTTATACGCTATAACTCTTTAAATGTCTAATATAACAAATAATACTTAAAATATTATCCTATTTATTAATACATATATTATCCTCATTTTGAATTAATTCTGCATATAGTCAATGTATCTATCCCATGTATTTTTGGATCGTACTAACTATCCTCACTCCTATATCTTCAAAATAATTTATTTCTCCTCATATCATGGATGCATAATTAATACATATTCTATATGGTATCAAGAGCTACTTAGGAAAAAGGTTCTCTTTCACGAATGGCCATTACTCTACTACCGGGCTATCACGAAGGACACTATGATGGTTGAACTTCATGCCAAATACCTCTCCAAGAGTAAGACGAGGATGTGCCATAGTCAAGCAAGTGCACCAATCTTGCAGTATTTGAAGTATTAGAGATATGATTGCTCTTAGACGAGCACATAGACATGATTTGGAGGAGCTTGTGGTTCCCCTAGTCTGAGGAAGACAAGACGAAGTCCCCTCTAAAGGAGATGAGTTGAAGTCCCCACTAAGGGAGACAAGTTGTTGTCAACCTCACACCAAATTCTTAAAGTTGGGGCCACTAATGCATGAAAGCAGTGGAATCCTTCTCATCTCTTAGAGTTGTCTTGAGTAGGATAACTCACATGGATTTGTTACTTAGAAGTCCGGATGCCGACCCTAAAGGCGTCTTGTTAAGACCTAAGAAAAAGTACTTAGTCTCATGAAGGACCGTAGGAGCACCAAATGCGCATGACATTTGGGTCCAACGCTTTTTCGTCCAAACTCAGAGTTTTCCCAATGCGCATGACCTAGGAAGAGTTGGAAGGAGGTGACTAGGCAGGATTTAGGACTTCTCAACCTGACTGAGGATATGGCTTTAGATAGGAATCTTTGGAGAACTAGGATTAGAGTAGCTGGTTAGGGGCCCGGTGCCTCTGAGGTTTTTTGTAGTGTGTTTTGTTTGGTAGGAATCTTTTGCTATCGCTTGCAGGACTTTCATTCCAGTGTATTTGGTGCTTTATCTGTGTTTTATTGTGCCCTATCATATTTTTTGTGCAGTTGGAGCCGGGGGGTCTCTCGGAAACAGCCTCCCTACTTCCGAGTAGGGGCAAGGTCTGCGTACACACACCCCCACACCCCCCCAAACCCTACTGTAGTGGGATTCAACTGGGTTGTTGTTGTTGCCGTTGTTTTCAAAGAGTTTTCCCATAGAGACGAAGCCATGAGAGCCCATCTCCCCACTGAAGGATACTTATGGCCTGTTTTGGATTGGGGGGAATGAGGGGAAGGGGAAGGAAATGGAAGGAGGTAGCTTCATTTTCGGTCGTTAGGATTGGAAGGAAATGAATGACGAGGGAGATAAAAGGATGAGGGGAGCCCCTCCATTTCCCACAAAAACCATCCCTCCAAATTACTCCGATTTGGAGGGGAGAACAAGCTGCACATAATTGCTAAAGGTCATCATCATCATCGTCATCAAAATCACCGTCATCGGAATCATCATGTTTGCCATCATCAGAGTCATACTCTTCATGCTCGTCATCAGAATTGCTGTCTGCAAAAAACCCTAGCTCAAGAATCATTGAGACGCTGGACTTCTGGCTCTCTGTTGCCTTTGAAACATAGGATTTAGTTGCGTTGTCACCTTTGAGATGGCGGGTGTATGCCACCGCCACTGGAATCGGAACCTTAACCTAGCAATGAACCTGCAAGAGATGAAGGGGATGTCACGAAGGTGGGGTTAAATATTCAATCAAAACAAGATATCATCCTCTCCCTTCTTCTCCTCTATAGTACTCTCCCTTCCCTTCCTTTACTACATTTGGTCCCTTCTATCCAAACATAGCCCTAAATGAGTAAGCCTTTAAGGAAATGAGGACAGAATAGGGAGGAGCCCTGGGGAAGGTCGGAACCTTGCCTCCTTTCCTTTTCTCTTAGCCGCTCCCCCGTGGGACCAGGGAGTTAGTCCGTGCCGAGGAAGGCCACAAGATTTGCACCGTCGAGGGGAGGGTACGAGCAAGTCGGCCCTCCAATGCTCAGTGTGCTAGAGGACATGACTTACCAAGTGACAATTAGCTACCCCGGTCATGCCCTCGGCCCACACCTAAATGTTTAGTCCCCTGAAGGACCGTGGGAGCATGGTCATGCATCCTTCAAAGTTAGAGAGCCTATCTCCCTGTGGGGGGGGGGGGGGNAAGTGGACGAGAACGGATAAAGTAAGAGGTATGAAGCCGAAGGTAGACCAGAGTCCCCTGCTCAAACTTGATCGCCCTTTTACCCTGCCGAGGGAGGCCCCTAATAAAGGCCAAGAGTCGCCGTCCTCAGGCTTAATCCGAGCAAGTGGAGGGTGTGTTGTTAGTTGAGTAAGCTGACAAGGGGGTGTTTGACGAGGTCAGGCACGCATCCCCATGCGGTTAGCCTTATTCCACCATGAAGGTTGGTTTGAGAGATTAAGTAAAATTCTGCTGGTTTAGACCAACTTGGTGGCTGAGGGGCGCAAGCCCAAGTAGATATTTTAAATATCATTATCTAACGTTATGCCATGATATTTTAAATATCATTATCTAACGTTATGTCATCATCCTTTGGAAAACATTCAATTCCATTTATTCAATCATCATCCACCAATCCCGCAAAAGACGTCGAATCACCATGAATCTCAGCATTAGATGTACTTGCAGGCTCACTTGTACCACTTCTCCTATGCAAGTTACGTCCCTCCAGATTGTTTCATGCACCCATTGCCTCATTAATGACTATACAAAAGATCATCTCCCACATGAATAACTTCATCACTAGCATTAACACATTCATTATTCCATTGAAAGTCTTTTATATTAAAAGGGTAGATGGCATTTTCTTGTGCATGACGCTTTTTGAACCAATTGACTATTTTACGGTTATTAGTACACCAAATCATTCAATTTTTGATGTTCTAGTTGGTTTCTTTTCTTTGTGTGTATCTACTTCTAAAAAAAGTAGTGTCTAAAATCATAATAATTCATGTACTACCTTCATATAACTTATTATTAAATGTTGATTACTTACAAACTCAAGAGTACTCTAGTTGTGTTCACAACCAGACGATGAACAATAAAACAAAGACCAATTATTTTCCTAGGAAATGTCTGGTGCTCTGGGTATTTCCACCAAAAGAACTCCACCAATCAATTGAAAAAGTTGAATAATAAAACAAAACAATATTATTACAGTTTCTTATACTTCCAAAAAAAATTAGTTAATTAAAAAATACTTACATGGGCACATTATTGTTCATTGTTTAATCAATATACTTTTTGCAAAGTCCCCTTTTGTTTCATCATAATCACTCACTTGCTAAATGATCTCATTTGCAAATTATCATCACTCATTGTCATTTTTTCCACAACCGCATTGAACAACACCCGAACCTTAGGGACATATATCTCATCCATCTCTTTGAGCAGAAAATACTTGCCAGGATTCAAAGAAATATGTGGCCACATATTTTTTTGCTCCATTTGATTAACTCATCGTACCTCAATTATATCCATCATTTTGCAATGTCGCATACCTTTTTTCCAGCCTTTGCCTTGGTCAATATATATCTATTCCAATCCTCACTAATGAACACACTTCACAATGCATTCTTGTGCTTATAGTCTTAGGGGCTGTTTGTTTCAACCTCTTAATGGTTCAGATGTCTGAATGGTTCATCACTTAATGGTTCAGACTGTTTGTTTCAGCCTCTTAATGGTTCAGATGTCTGAATGGTTAAGAGATTTGCCTCTGAATAGTTAAGTATTATACAGAGTCTGAATGGTTAAGACCTCTTATCTGAATTGATCAGACATTTGCCTCTGAATAGTTAAGCAATATACTAGCTTTTAATGGTTCAGACCTCTTACTGGTTCAGCACTTAATGGTTCAGACTTCTTACTGGTTCAGCACTTACCAATTCAGAAGTTGCCAAACAGCCCCTTATACATACTCTATAAAGTGAGTAAATGTGACAAATCATGTAACTCGTAGCCAAACAATTTTTTTCCCATTTGTTTTTTCTTTTGACGTAACATGGAATCTCACATGTGTATAAACAAATGTTCTCACACTGTTGCATTTTCAATCTTGACCTTAAAATATGGCAACTTCTCAATGTCTTCTAGCATGAGATCTACATAATGGGTTGCACAAGGTGTCCAAAAGAGTTGTGGAATTGGGACCTCAAGTAGTTTGCAAGTAGCTTTGAGCCTTTGAAATTGGAACCATTATCATTTACTACTTAGATAACTTTGTCTTTTCCAATTTCTTCAACTATTTTCTTCAATAGTCTACCAACATGGTTGCATCATTTACCTGACTTGAAGCATCAACTTATTCTAAAAAATGTCCCCTGAAAACTGTTTGCAAAAAAATTAATTAGATGACTTCTTCCATCTTCCACCTATTTAACATGAGTGTGCAATCATTTTTTGACCAATACTTGTCATGGTCTACTTTCAACTTCTCCGTATCTTATTTGCTTTTTGAAGAAGGGGTACACGTAACTTGTGAAACAATGGCGGTTTAAGCCTTGGTCCATATTCCCCAATTGATTCTATAATCACATAACTTCTAGAACTAGGAGCATTAAATGGTATTCTATTGTCCAAGAAGAAATAAAAAATATGCTTATAAACCCAGATTTCCTTCTCCTTGCTTTTGGGTCTATTTTATGCCTTTCACTAACCACTTCTTGAGGCCTCTTTCCTACCATACAAACAATAGATTTTAACTGTGGCTGAGTAAATTTAACAAAGACTCTTCTTAAATAATGCATTTGCACCTGAATTTGGTTGAGTAACGGAAGAGTTTGAAGCTACAGAAGAACTAACATTCATATTATCCACGTTCTAATCATCTTCACCAACTTCATCATCACCGTTGATGTTCAACACCACAGGTTGTTTCCTTGTGCTCTTATTATGTACAAAATACAAATGCATTTCTCTCATTATCTTTGTCGTTGTATTTAGGCATTGTATTGAGACACTTAACAACATCTCCAAATCCATGGGAGAAAATGTGCATTTGGAAATCTTGTTTGTACCCGTCCTCACCCTCAAGGACGATATGAGCTTCATCGTCCATCATGGACTCTTCCATTTCCCTTTGATAAGATCCATTAGCCAAATTTCTTGCCCCCCTATGCGCTGGTCAGCATGTCGTTCATAAGTATCAACAATTGCTAGCGAATTTTCAGGGTTGGACCACCAACAGCAGCGGAGGAGCTTCGATTGCTTGAACCACATGCACTGAGCGGCAAGGTTTAGCGGTGGCGGAATGGCGGTGAGCTTCGCTATCTCTTTGCAAAGAGCTTGGTTGTCTCGCTCAGGTTCCCTGTGGCGGAGTTCATTCTCCTTGCATTTTCTGGATGATGAACTCCAGAGCGGAGCCACCGTCCTCTGACCACTGTGCAATCACGATTCTTCACAGTTGTCATCTCGTTCCAACCAACTCAGGATGCAGAATCCGAGGCGACGTGAGCCATCCTTCACCATCGTTGTCATTTAGAGGCACAACAACCTTTGTCAATTTCAATCTTCCATTTGGATTCAGTTCTGAATTGTTGTCGTCGTCGTTCATTTGATATCAGCTTAGCAGTTTAGCCACGAGCGGAGATCTTTGTCCTTGCATCTGCGCTGAGGGACACTTCAAGTGCTGGCGCTGTTCTCGTCTTATTCAAAAGTAACAGTTGCAGTGAGACGTCTTCCGGTGGGGGTTTGGAGGTCCAAAGGAGCCGAGCATAGCTTCGCTGGGACTGAAGCTTCTAGAACAGATTTTGCTTTAGCCTTCTTGCACAACAGACTCCAGCTGCTCATCATCCCCGACATTGGAGCAGCTTGATTCACGTCCAAGACCTCCCAATGTGAGCACCAATGGGGGATTCTAAGGATGAGAGAGAGAGAGAGAGTCCCCATGTAAAACTGTCTGGCCAACTCCATGACCCATCGGGACGAGGCCGAGGGCATGGTACTCATCTGAACTAGGATCATTCTGATCTCAGGTTTTGAGTCCTCTTCATCTGCCCGAATACCCCTATCCAGGATATCCACCACATGTTCTTGATTGTGATTTTATATGCACGGTCCATTGTTGTGTTCATTGGATTAACCTACATCACTACATATTTGAATTATTGTTGTAGATAGTCAATGTATCTATCCAAGGTATTCTGGATCCTACTAACCATCCTCACTCTTTTATCTCCTTCCTTATAATGTATCCCGTCTCATATGATCAAAGTACAATTTGGATCCTACTAACCATTCTCACTCTTTTATCTTCTACATAATGTGTCCCTTCTCATATGATGAAAGTACAATTCATACATATTCTACGGAGAGTATCTTATACCAACATATGTATTTTCATTATGATATTGTGAATACTTTCTCTGATTGATAACTCTAAAGGCCAATACTAGAACCACAGACTCAAAGTCGTTTCTTGGGTCATCAAAACGGACGAGTAAGGTGAATTCTGTATCAGCAGCAGCAGGAAAAGGGACCACTAGAGATGCCAAACATTTTAAGATGGTTCATGCCAATGGGAAGCTTAGTACTGGTATGCAATGAACTTGAAATCCAATTGTGTACGGAGTGTTCTTAATTTTTTTTTAACACCAGTTTTTTTTGTTTAAATTGCGAAATTTGCGCACCATTGAAAGTTCCCTATGTCCAGATGTGGAATAGACATGCACAAATATGGATCTGGGCCCATTCTGGGACGAACCTAAAAGTTCCCAATGTCATGGATATATGGGACGGCCAAGCTCGGCCCCAACTCTCGGGCGGAATATCACTCATATCTGCCCATGAAGGGGAGCCAAATGGCCACGAGGCGGCTCATTCCGGAACTTTATATATATAGAAATACTTTTAATTGTACATTCATTTTTTTTATTTTTCATTTAGTCATATGCGGGCCAACCCGTATGGGTACATATATTTGTCCTTGTCTGCTCTTTTTATGGACTGCCTTTGCATTTTGGTAATTCATGATGATTTTATTTATTTTCTTAATTTAAATTTGTTGATGGAAACTTACAGGTTCTAGTAATGGGACTGAAGCACCAAAAGTCGTTCCCTTAAATAATGCTCGCAAGGTGTTACTGAAACCCGCAACGTCTGTAAGGCCACCTTCTATTGGCTCATCGGCCTCAACCCGCAACGTCTCAAGGTCTTCCAGTAGCAGTACTGCTAGTACTTTGTCAGACAGAACAGCAAAATCTACTTCTAGTGTAGCAAGAAAGGTGGAGAGTAAATCTGTGGGTCGACCTGCTGTTAACACTCCATCACAAATTCCATTAAAAAATGACGTATCACTTAGAAACTCTGCTGTAGGAGCATATGTGATGTCTTCAAAAATGAGCCCCGGCATTTCACCCGGCAGTTCTTTGACTTCCTGTAGTGAGTGGTCTTCAACATCTTCAACTTCTAGATCCATTAACAAGAGGTCAAATGGATCAAGGACTAGCCTTGATACTAGTAGATCCGTGGACAGTTATAGTCCGGCCTCTGATTTGAGTAACCATCCCAGTCAACGCCATACATCAGCTAAATCAGTGACAAGAACAGCATTGCGTAGCGGAAGTGTAAGTAAACCTTTAAGACAGAACACACTTTCTCAAGCAGCTTCTAAAAAACCATCATGCCTCCGGATGCCATCCCCGGAGATTGGTTTCTTTGACGCGGTCAGTTTTTACCACTCAACGATTTTATTCATTTCTTTATGAAGTTTCCGAAAACAACTCCCAAGTTGATACTTTTGATACAAATACTCAAATTCACCATCTATTTGTTTCTCTTTTCCAGGATAAGTCACCATCTATGTTGTCTCCTTCCAACCCAAGCGTTGCAGTGACGAAACTTGGAGCCAACATAAGGGCAAATTTGAAAACCAAAACTGCAGAGCTTCCAAATGCAAAAACATTAAATGTTTCGGTAAGCACAGAATGTGATACAGAGAAGGTCCCTTCTCAAGAGAGTAGAGATGGTAGTTTATGTCCTAAACATGCTGCAGGTGATTTAATCAAGAGCAAAACAAGTACAATATGTTTGAAGCATTGAATTTTTTCCCTGATTCATCCATAGATTTCTCAGCTTTAAACCAAGACAAAAAAATGCATTGTCAATTATTTACTGAAAAAAAAAACAAAACTTACTGACTAAAAAAAACTGTTTGTGCAATATACTTTTCGTTCAATGTTTACCAAAATATGTTTTTCATAGTTTATTGTTTTGTTCAGATGACTAAAGATATCATGCTATTGTTCGTTGATGTAAGGTTGAGGGCATTCGATGTAAAATGTTCGGCTAGTTGGGGTCTTTGTGGACCGTTGTCTATCTAGATCTTACTCCCTCTGTCCCAATTTAAATTACATGTTGTTTACGAATTTTGTTCAAAGTTCTTTTCAATTTCCAATTTATTTAAAAAGTGGTATGGAATTAAAAAATAAAATTTATATATTTAAAAGTTACATAAAAATTGTACAAAATAAGATGTGTCAAAATTATATTATTTTTCCAATTGAGTAGAAAAAATAAGTAAAAAACATGAATTAATTAATGTTGTACTATGTGAATAGTAAACATGTAAGTTAAATTAAGACAGAGAGAGTATTAATTTGGAAGAGCTAGTTCGTCAAAGCTAGTAATTGGATGGTTCAAAGTTGTTAGTGGTTGTCTACCTAGTGTTTATGCTTTGGCAAGAGTCTGTTTGCCAAAAGTGTTTTCATGCGACCATCGTGTTGAGAGGATCAAGACGTCTTAGTGCATATTCAAAACCCTTTATATTTTACGTGCTAACTCTATTTATTATTTTGCATTTATTTTAATGCTACCACTTAAAAAAACTTTTATAGACATAATTGATTTTCAATTGGTTGCTAATTAAAGTGATTAACCACATCTAGAAATCCTCTTTCTGCCTAATTGGAAGAATGTTTATATCCACCTAGCTACACGAGAAAAATCCTAATTTTCAGTCGGTATTAATTTGTATTGTATAATTTGTATTCGATGGGTTGTTCTCAAAGTGTTCGTAAAGTCTCCGTTTTTCAATGGGAAAATGTTTTCTTATTAGGAAAAAAAGATAAAATCTTCCGTTTTATAGATTATTATGCTCGATAATCAACTTGGATTGAGAAACTTGTTAGGGGTTAATCGTTTTTTCATATCCTTCGAGGTGCACTGTGCTCAAATGCACTATGATTGTAAAAGAGTTCAAAATGACTAAGGCCCCGTTCGATACATGGAATTCAAACCATGTAATTGGAATTGAGGACTTCAATTCCAATTTTGTTGTTTGGTAGCACAAAAATTATGTGGATTTGGAATTGATAGTGCAAACAATGAATTGGAATTGGCAAAATTCAATTATATGGAATTGAATCCCATGGAATTTCAATTTCAATTTCGTCAATTCCGTATACCAAACGGACCCTAAGGAAATTTAGGATTTACTAGAGAACATGTTTGAAATGTATGTTTGAAATGTAAATCTCAAGAACATCGAAAGACCGACTAAACAAAATGTATGTGCCTATTTGTCAACTGCTTTAGCGTTTTGAATAGATGTCTAACGATAGTATTTAGCCTTAATGTTTTAAAAGTTAATTCACGCTATTATAATATAATAACAAACTCTAGTATAAAAAATTTGTTCCGAAACAAGGCATATGTCTACTTGGTAGCGTTGACCAGAGGGTAACCTCTTAACATATAATTGCTCATCCCCATTTGATACGGAGTATTTCTTTTAAGTTTGAGGAATTAAAAAATGTGGTTAAAGCGACTTTTTTTAGTCTTGCGTGAAACAAAGATCTTAAGGATATTCTTTGAAGAAAAACTAAATGAGCTTCAAAAAAGGTATAATATTTAAACTTTGAAAAAGATCAAAAACTATCATGATCTGCCAAAATTATTAAAAAAGAAAAAAAAGTTTTGTAATCGTTTGTTTGTTGAAAAACTTAAAAGTTTTTCAACCAATCAACCCTCAGGAGCAATGTAGATATGGAGATTGAATTGGGTCAGCAGGGTTGGTTCTTGTTCGAATTTATTCGATTTTGAACTACTTCAGATAAACTCCGTATTTGATTCAGTTTGGTTCCACTACAAATCGGTTATGATGTAGCTTGGGTCCTCGTCTCCTCGTGGATGGCTCCTCTATTTTAAACAAACAAACATTCTCAAAATGGAGGAATGATTCTCCCTTTAATTTAGACATCCCCTAAGGAATGTTGTACATAGCTAGTGTTTGGAGCTTATTTGTTTAACATTAAAAATGCACACCTACCATAGTCCGTATATTTTGAAGGAGTTAGTTTTCCCTGATCCTAAATTCTACATGTAAAATGTGAATCTTTAAAAAATCTAGCAATACTCTCAGTTTATTAAATTTAATCTCAGAAAATGAAAAGAGGACACTGTTATAGAGGATAGAGTTGGATATTTAGTTATGAGGAGACTTAGGGCCTGTTCTTTAGGGCTTGAACTCTTAACTTCCAGTTCCTTCCAGTTTTTTACAGTTTTTTCCAATTTCTTCCAGTTCCTTCCAGTTCTTCCTGTTCCTTCCAGTTTCTTCCAATTTCTTCCAGTTCCTTCCAGTTTCTTCCAGTTTATTCCAACTTTTTTCATTTTCTTCAAATTCTTTCTATTCCTCAACCAATTACTCTAAAAATGATATTTTTTAATGTGATTATTATTATTATTATTATTATTATTATTACAAATGTTATATTCATAACTGTAGTTTATAAATTATTTTTTTCATCTCACTATTTTTACGATTCACACTTATTATTTTTTTTCTTCAACTTTTTAATATGAATAAGACATTTTTTTTGTATATTAGTCTAAATGATAAAACAGGAAAACATCAATATGTTAAATTATACTAAAAAAATTATGGATAAAATAGTTACATTGAATGTTTTATTAATATACTTCCTCCGTCCCATTTCATAATACCTGTTTCGGTTTACGATGTTTGGCTGAAATTATTTTTAAATCATTTTATATGACAAATGGTATATACTCCATCCGTCCCGGAGTATTCGTCCAGTTTTGACTTTTGGAACTGTTCATCTAAGCACTTTGACTCATCAAATTCTCTCAATGTGTAAGCCTAAATATAGTTATGAGTGATCTTGTTTGATTTGTCTTAACATATAGATTATTAATATATAATTTCTATAATTTTTTAATATACAAATTACAAAATAAAATGGATTAAAGAAGTGTATTGGATGATGTGTAAAAATGAAAGTGGACAAATACTCTGGGACGGAGGTAGTAGTTAAAAAATAAAAATTACATATTAAAATACTACATCAAAAGATCTACAAAACTAGTAGTGACAATAGCATTGTATTTTATCAAATTGCTAACGAAAATAGAGAAAGAAAGTGAGTAAAGTTTGACCATGTGAATAATGAACATGCATTATAATTTGAGACGGAGGGAGTAACTTTTTATAAGACATCTCAGTTTTCTCTTTATTACTTAAAAATTGCTCATTTTTCAAATTTTTATTAAAAAGAATTGTAAGTCAAAAGAGCTCAATTTTATCATTTTTCTAAAGACATCTCAGTTTTCCCTTTTTAAAATTTAATATTTTTATATTTATGCTAATTTAATATTATAATTATTTTTTGTAAAAGTAGTTTTTTGTATTTAAAAAATAACAATATTTTTTTATATCTTAAAGACATTTACTAAGATAACGTGATGATGATAATGATTATGTTGATGATTATGATGATGATGATGATGATGATGATGATAATAATAATAATAATAATTTATAACAACAAGAATTTAAAATAATTATTTTTAAAGTTTTTTTAGGTTTCTAGTTTTTTCCAGTTTTTTCCATTTTTTTCTAGTTTCTTCCAGCCAGTTTTTTCCAGTTTCTTCCAATTCCTTCCAGTTTTTTTCCAGTTTCTTCCAGTTCCTTCCAGTTTTTTCCAGTTTCTTACAGTTCCTTCCAGTTCTTCCAGTTCCTTCCAGTTTCTTCCATTTTTTTCCAATTTTTTCCAGTTTCTTCCCGTTTTTTCCAGTTTCTTCCAACATCCAACTCTTTTTTTACAGTCTTAAAGAATAGGCCCTTAATCTTACAGCAAAATATTTACAACAAATTTTGCAACACTCTGTTTGGGATACCTACAGTGCTTCGTTCATAAAATTAAGAACCCCTACTCGACATGTCCCTACTCCCTAAAGAACCCCTGCATCCCCTCTAATTGCATCACTTTTCATTTAGTTGACTTTGTGGCCAAATATTTTACCAAAACAAAAAGTTGTGCAATTGGAAAAGGTGCCGGGGTGTGTGAGGGATGGGCCGGGATATGGGGGTTTACTGGGGAGATTAGGAGTGGTGAGGGAAATTAATTTTAGAAACGCAACAGTGTAGGTAACCCAAACAGAGTGTTGTAACATTTGTAAATATTTTTGTTGTATTAATATTATAATAATTATTATTGTTGTTGTTGTTATCATCATCATCATCATCATTATTTATTGTAATCTAGTTTCATTATGTGAAAGAATTATAAGCTTCTTTGAAAGTTTTTTTCGGTTCTTTACATTTATGCATTTGTTTTACTGACAAGGCTAGGAATTAGGATCTTTGAGGGTTAGAGTTTTCATCACCCTCTTATATTTAGAGATGTAACCTCATTTATAATATAAAATAATAAATAAATCACAAACCCTAAAGTCTCTTCTCCTCTTTCACGATAGATATTGTGCTTGTGTTTCTTTTCCCTTCTCATCTTAGAGAACACACAAAGACGTATTACAAAATAAGTGATGAAATTCAAAATGATCGACGAAAATATTTTAAATAGATTTGGTTTGATCTTGTGAATAGTAAACATGAACATTATTTGTAGATGAATGAAATATCATTTAGTCATGATAGTTTCATAATTTAAAAAACTCAATTTTATGTCTATATATATACTCCGTAATACTTATTGAATATTTCATTTACATGATATTCTTCTAGATAATTGTAAATAATCTAAAACATTTACTTTAAATTTATAAAATCATATTTATAGTTTTTATTATCATATTCTTTTCCTATAAAATTTAAAATGATTTTATATATTTAATGTATTTTTATTTCAAAAATGAACCAATTTTAGAAACTCTCAGTTACAAAGTACCATTTGAAAAATTAGTATAGGATTTAGCGTCATTTTAATGCACGTTAGTCGAGGGATTGAACTGAGAATTATTCTCAATTAACGAGTATCTTCTCGGCAATTAGTTAATTTTGAAGAGGCTAATTCGGAAAAACACATAATTAATAATTAATGAGTACAATTTTCAAAATGAATTCTATCTTTATTTCTCGTTTTCTTTAAATATGAAGATTAGTCGCCCTTTACACATAAAAAATTACTTGCTCTTTTCCGTAAAAAAAAATTACTTACCCTAATTTTTGCATTATTCACTTTTTGTTTACATCTTTCTTGAGTATAAGTATAGTACACCGCCAAAGACAAATGGAAAGTCAAATATTTTTTTCATTTTACGTTATAAAGCGTGTGAAGGCCAAACACAAGGAGTGCCAACTACCAAGCAACAGCTTTCCACTCTTGGGGCTCTTGGCGTACATCACAATGTGAGAATCATATGCTATTACAAGTAATAAATTTTGGTATGTCAAGTAGTAGTATTAAAGTACTATACTTTTAGTAGTACAAAACAAGACACAAACGAACAATGGCTTATTGGCTTTCCACTCTAGAAATACACAGCACGAAATAATAAGATTCGTCATATGGGGTTTTTAGGCATTGAAATCATCAATAAGTGGGAGAAGAGAGACATATATAGAGAGAGAGCTACTTACCCTTCACACAGAATGAATTAAGAAATTTTTGCAGAGCCAAGTTGAAATGTGACAAATCAATGAAACGCGCCGCCCTTTCCTCCTTTTTACTATGCAACAAACACCAGACCAGTCCACCTGCAGCACACCTTATACTGGTACAACAACAAGACAAGAATTTTCATCGGAGAGTTTCTAATAACGGAGTTCACCCACGGTTTCAGGCTGAGCAAGGGTGAAGTTTCCGACTTTGGGAGGGCCCGAATGCCGCCTCGGCCTGGTAGCTGCAGGGGAGGGTGAATATGAAAGGTGCTTCTTTGTTGCAGAGAAATTGACATTATCTGCATCTGACGGGCTATGGAGACGTGTCTTAGCTTTTGCTGAATGGGTGGAAGCCATATAGCTTGGCACAGATGTGGAGCTTGACAAACTCTCTTCATCATCTCTAGCCGATGATGGCGTGCCCCCAGCAATGCTATGCCTCCTCCTGTTTCGCTCAGATTGGACACTCATAGCCACACTTCTTGCATCATCATCTTGGGTGGGAGGAATAGTTGCTCTTGGGCTTGGTGGCTTTAGTTTTCTGGGTGGTTTGGAAGATGGAGTGGTGGCAGGGGAATGGCGGGTTGAGGAGTGACCCGCTGGCGGCTTATTGGTGGTGGTGGTGGTGGTGGTGGCAGGTGAAGGAGGCTGTTGTTCGGCGGCGGCAGCCAGCTGGTGGCGAGCATATGCCTTGGTAATCTCTCCCACATTAATGCTGCTGCTGCTTCCACCTTTGGTGGCAGACAACTGATCATTCTTAACTTCTTTCTCCGGCATCCCATCTGCCTCCCAAGGTCTTGCACCCATCCACCGCTCTAACCAGCTCCAACCCCACTGCAGATTTGTGGGATCCATAAACAATAAATTCTGAGACCTCGATGACGACTTCTTCCAGGTTTGCTGTCAAGTTGAAGGACTAAGAAGTCAGTATCCCGGCAATGGATTGAATATGTAGTAGAGGAAGAATTTTTGAAATACCTGATGAGAATATGAATAAGCAAGTGCTCTCTCTCGTCTCATAGCAGCTTCATATTTGCTCAACAAGTTTGCTTCAATTTTCTCTTTTGACTGTATACTATCATCCCAATCCTCTCCTCTCTGTCAAACACATAAATATATAAATAAAAAGCTTCAGCTGTTTAGGCTCTTTCTTTTGGCATCCCCTAGTTTCAAAAAGAGAAAACATGAATTGTTTTTCAAACAACAATATAACATTGTACTCCCTCCGCCCTAAATTTATCTTCCCGTTCACTATTTACTATTGGGTAAAACCGTAAAACTTTATCCACTCCGTTGGCCAATTTTCAATACTTATTTGATCAGAAAATATAGTAATGTCACCTCTAATTCCGTAAATCTTTTGATGTATTTTTTAAATATATAAATTTCATTTTAAAATTTCACAGCAATTTTTCTATAATATGAATAAAAAATAATTTCAGCCAAGCATAAACGCAACGAGAAGTTAAATTTAGGACGGATGGCAATAGAATACTAAATAGATGCACACGGAAGTTGGGTTAAAAAAAGGTTGGAACTTGGAAGAGGAAATGAGAGAATATGATCACCCTCAAGTTCTCGAGATCTTTGGCGTGTTTCTGCATAAGCTGTCTCTGGAGAGCTCTGTTTTCCTCCAACATTCTATTCCTTCTTGAATTAATCTGAGATTGTACACGAGATAGAGACTGCATACACTTGAGAGCATTTGCAGTTTGCCTTTTTGCAGTCGGTCCATCGACAAGGGATTTTAGCCTCACAAGTCCTCTTAGGGCCTTCAATGCCCTCCTAGCCTACAAATGATGAATTCCATTAGTAAACACCTCTATGTTACAGCTACCCGGGTCAGAAAATTTTGATTTTATGCTTAATATGGATGGCTGCGGCAATTAAAGAAACTGCCATTTATAGAAAAATCATGCCAAAACAAGTTGAAAGCATCAAAGACATAATGACATGTAAGATGAAGGGTCGATACCAAGTATCCTCGGAATGCAGTCTGAATCCTAATTGTGGCAATTTCCTCCTTTGACTTTCCTTCAAATGGATTCGGGGAACTTAATTTAACAACTTCTGCGGCAGCCTGAGCTGCTGCCACAGCAGCTTCAGCTGCTGCCACAGTGGCAACTGCAACCGAGTAAGCATGCTTTGTCTGTTCTCTCTCCACTTCAGACAACCTCAACTCTTGTGGCTGAGGTGGTGGTGGTGGTGGCGGTGGAAGGGGTGGTGGAATGGCAGTTTCTATATTTGAGGAGTCGGGAACCTGAAGTTGTTCTTTCTCCAACCGTTTTTTATTCGATTTGCTTCCTTTCTGTGAAGCAAAAAGACCAATCACCCAATGGAATGTGATGAAAAGGGAATACTATTTGCAATGCAGACACCTTCCTTTACCTTAGATTCAGGGCTGAAAGCCTTCTTCACTGAAGAAAACCAGCTCCCTTTCTTTCCCATTCTTCTTCACTTCCCCAAATCTCTTATTCTGTTCCGGAATATAAAGCATTATATCAACATATTGACTCTTAATCCGAGAAGACAAATTCCCCATGCATTTGAGCAGTCGAAGAGAAAATTAAAGTGCAATTATATAAAGTAAAGAACTTGCATACTGTGTGACTGTGCATCAGCTTGTTTAGGAAGATATGATACGAAAAATCCAAAGATAGAAAATTTATGTGAGTTGTTCAAGAGAAACATGGCACCAAGATTAGCAAATCTAGGAGCTGAATAACTGTGGCTGCAAGGCAACAAGATTTAGTCATTGATTAATGGTATTGGATCAAATATTGAAGTTTCTCAACACCCAATAAGAAAATCTTCATTCAATCATAAGACTATCCAATACCCAGAGTTTCAAAGACATGATTTTCGAATCTCCAGAATGGCATTAACCCAAAAATTAGCTAACTTCAAGAAACAACTCACAAGATCCAATTTCAACCGACAGTGATCTAGTCTTACTACAATCTCAAGAATGCCCATAAAAGTGTAAAGTCAGACCTCACAAAAAGAACCACCAAGTTGGGAATTTGAAATCGGAATATGAATGGGGAAAAATGGAGCTTAATTAAGATCACCTGCAGCTGCGAGTGAGAGCTCTCCCAGATCTCGAAGCTTCCGTGTCGTCTTCTTCCTCTATCTCTGAAGGGATTCCAATCCTTCAAGTGTGCAAGAAAAGAATGGGATCAGAGAAAATGGCAGGCAGCCTTCCTGCATATACTACGTTGTCAGAAAAGGAAACGCAAAGAGATAGAGAGAGAGAGAGAGAGAGAGAGAGAGATCTCAGATCTTACCAATTACCAAAGAACAGCTGACGGTGGAATAAAAGAGCGAACAAGAAAAACTACCAGCTGGTTTTGGCAAGTCCTGACCCCACTAAACATTGCTTGCTTGGGTCGCCTCACCACTAGGGGTGGGCACGGGTCGGGACGGTTCGGGTTTCTTACAATCCCGCGTCCTGTCCCGTTATATTCAAACGGTTCGGAACGGTTCGAACCACAAGCCTATCCCACTTTGTCCCATAATTTTCGAGACCGGGGCAAAACGGAACGGATTCGGATTGTCCTACTTTTTCCTAATTTTAGGACAATAATAAAAATTGAAAACAAAAATATTGAAAATAAATGCTACAACAATGTCAACAAGTATTAATTGTTAAGTACTCAAAATGTTTCACGAGATACGTACGGAGTAATATATGTGTGTTTATATATATATATATACACACACACACACACATATATATATATACACACACATATATATACATACATATATATAATGTTTTTAGAAGAGTATATAAAATGGGACAAACAGGATGGAACGGTACACTTGTATGTTATCCCGGTAATGTCCCACTTAAAATCGGGACAGAACGGGTTCGGGACAAAAAAATTTGAATCCAAAAAAAAGGTACAATTTCAAAACGGTTCCGGCACATTTCGGAACGGGTCAACGGGAACGGTTATCGTGCCTGCCCCTACTCACCACTGGTTTTCATTTTTTAAAATTTTTATGGTAGTTCACTCTAAGAGCATCTCTAATCTCCAATGTAGAGGCTATATGCTAAAATTTACACAATTTAGGGGCTGTTTGTTTCAGCCTCTTAATGGTTCAGATCTCTGAATGATTCAGCACTTAATGGTTCAGACTGTTTGTTTCAACCTCTTAATGGTTCAGATGTCTGAATGGTTAAGAGATTTGCCTTTGAATGGTTAAGTATTATACAGAGTCTGAATGGTTAAGACCTCTTATCTGAATTGATCAGACATTTGCCTCTGAATAGTTAAGCAATATACTAGCTCTTAATGGTTCAGACCTCTTACTGGTTCAGCACTTAATGGTTCAGACCTCTTACTGGTTCAGCACTTACCGATTCAGAAGTTGCCAAACAGCCCCTTACACTTTGTGCTTACCTTTTTGACCCTCCCTAAAATACAATATAGAGTAAAATACAATTGGCAAAGTGTATATATACAAGTTGGTTGTAGATAGGGACATGAATAAATGTACAATATGGAGTATATTATACAAAACATGGTTGGAGTAGGTATTAAAAAGTGGAAGTGTAAAATATAATTTACAGTTTTACACTACCAATTTTTACACTATACATTGGAGATGCTCTAAGCCACTTCAAATTAGCATCTAAAATACCTCACTTTCACCGTAATGATTATATTTTTATTTGATATTAATGTATTTATACTCAAATTAGAAATTCTATCTTTTAAAAAAAGAATAAAAAATATTTCTTCATTTTTGGGTTTATTAATTTTTTTTGTTAATTGTTTTCTCTTTCGGGTTTTTTGATTTTTTCGTGTTTATTTCCAGTTTAATTTTTTGTGTTTCTTATTTTTTCCTTCTTTTTATACTTAAAATGTGTTTCGTTTTAAAAATAGCAATAAAACATAGTTCTTTCAATTCTAAAGTGTTTGAACGAAAAATATAAGTGAGACATAGTATCCAAAATTATATAGCCAATATTGATGTCGTTGGACAGACCTTGTGAAAAAATCTTCAACGACGTATAATTTATGAAGTAATGACTTGCACACAAAAAGTTGCGAACAAAAGTTACGGAAGTTGTGGGCATTGAGCTTTACGAAGAGCCTAATAGAATACATTAATATTAGGAAAAATCTATTTTAACGGCTCCCTTCTCGTCAAGCGTGCCATTACACATACTTTTATAGCGGCTCCCTTCTCTTAACAACTTTTAATGTCATATTATGACAATAGCATCTACGGTGCTATGATCTGACCCCTCCTATGCTCCCCTCTCCCCCTGCACCTCCATGCCCCCTATTTAAAACACTAAAATGCTACAATATTGATGTAGTATTTGGGCGTTTTAGGGAGGCATTGCTGAGTGTTAGAGATAGAAATCATCAATTTTTAGATCGGGGTATTGTAGGTCTTGTTGTCATATTATGACAACAAATATTGTTATCAAAAGAAGGAAGTTGATATTATTGTTACTTCGTCTAGTAAAAAGATTCTATATTTTTTATCCAAAAAATCTATTATCTAATTTTGCTGATTTTTTGGTGGTCTATATAATTTTTCTCTCTTCTGTACTACTTTCAATCACATAATTTTACTTTTTTTAATATTTGAGCAAAATCAAACGTGAAATCTTTTTACGAGATGAAGGGAGCATTTTTTTTAGGAAAAATTACCCAAAATAATCTCAACTTTACCCGGTCTTTCAAAAATAATCTCACCTTTAACTGTGATGCATAATAATCCCAACTTTACTGAAATTTGCCAGTTTTGGGTCGCCGTTAAGTTTCTAACGGAAGGTTAACGGAAATGCCTGTTTTAGGCAACAAAATGAAAGTTGGGATTATTTTTGATGAATTTTCATTTTTTATTTTTTTAAATTTTTCATTTAAAATTTTTAAATTACTTTCTACCTCCATCATCATTTCTTTTTCCTTTTTTAAAGATTAGTCTTAGTTTAAAAAATAAAAATAATAGATATAAAAATGAAAAAATGAGAAATGTAACTAAAATGATACAAAAATAATAAAATAAATAAGGTAATCAATGGAAACTAACTTGAAATTGGTAAAAGTAAAATAAAAATATACGGGTGGGTTTTAATATTTTACGCATTATACAAAGTACGGAGTATTAACATATCACTTCTTATTTTTTAGAAAAAATTATCTACAATAATTCCAACTTTATCGGACGGCTTGTTCTTTTAAAAAAATAAGTAGTACATTAGAACTCCGTATATTGTGTAAAATGTTAAAACCACCACTCCGTATATATTTATTTTATTTTTACCAGTTTCTGTTTAATTTCTATTGATTACATTATTTATTTGATTAATTTTATATGGTTTTAGTTATTTTTCTCATTTTCATTATTTTTTATATCTATTTTTTTCAAAGGTAAGAATAATTTTTAAAAAAGAAAAAGAAATGGAGGTTGAAAGTAATTCAAAAAATTTAAATAAAAATTTCAAAAAAATTAAAAAACAAAAATTCATCAAAAATAATCCCAACTTTTATTTTGCTGCCTAAAACAGGCATTTCCCTTAACCCTCCGTTAGAAATTTAACGGCGACCCAAAACTGACAAATTTCAGTAAAGTTGGGATTATTATGCATCACAGTGAAAGGTGGGATTATTTTTGAAAGACCAGGTAAAGTTGGGATTATTTTGGATAATTTTTCCTTTTTTTACTCATATAAGAGTATTGACGTGTTGTAATATTCAAATCTATTTCAATATATTCACTCTATTTATGTTTAATTGACAATTTAACCTTGAGATATAAAAGAAAAAACTTAGATGTAGGTCAATTTTTAAGGACAAAGTTGTCCATTTAATATAAAAAAAGTAGATTTTAACCAAAAAAAGTAGAGGGAGTACTTTGTACTAATAATGGCATGTCCAAAACAACAACATAGTTCAATAGATCCTAACAAAGTAGGGTTTGGGAAGGATGTATATAGATAGAAACATTGTCTCTGTATATTATGCTCTATATTTATCATGAAACGGGTATATGAGGTATAAATTTTTGTTGGGTATTTAAATTCGAATATATATATATATATATATATATATATATATATATATATATATATATATATATATATATATATATATATATATATATGTTAACATATTAAATCGAATACATAAACATTTGTATTTGTATTCATTTTCTTTCAAATTCTAAAACATAATTATATTCTTATTCGTATTCATTTTTCGAGTACAAATCATTGGTTCAAATACGAATCACGAATCGATTCAAAAGTGTTCGTTTGTTTTACAACCCTTCATGCAATATGTGCACCCACACGGAGCCCAAACCTTTATTGAGCCCTATATTTTAGATATTTATGATTCTAGATTTCTAGTTATTTGATATTTTTAAATTTTAATTTTTTAAATGTATAAACATATATTTTATGTTCATATTTCTAAATCATCTATGGACTATATATTAATCTAGTGATGATTTATATTTTTAAGGTCATTGATTTTTTGGGTGAATATTGATTTTGTAATATTTATAATTAAAAGGTTTTTACAATTGATTTTGCACTATCCGTTGGAGTGTCAAATTATATACACTATATTGCAAAAAGTGTACATTTAATGTTCTTATTATATTTTCTGTTAGATTGAAATCCATCTTTTGCTTGTTTATTTCAGAACTTGTGAAAAATATTTGAGAGCTTAGTCATCTGTAACTCTGTAAGAACTTGACCTGCAGTAATTGTAACTTAAATGTGTTATTTACCTTTACAATTAAGTTACAATTACTTTCACCCAACCCCATCTATGTCCTACCCAACCTTTTACCTTCTTCTTTACCTATAAGCATCCATTTCTTCCTCTCCCAACAAACACCTTCCTCATCTTCCTCTTTCAACTTTGAGCCTCCCTCGCCACACCGGCACCCCTTATAGCCTCCCCTGGTGCCAAGCACAAACGGAAAAGGGGCATTGTCGGGTAGAAGGAAAACCGTAAAAAAGTCAACACCATTTTCATGTTGCATAAACATTTGTGCCCGATCAAAGAAAAACAAATGGGTAGTTGCACAGTTGGCAGTGCGGAGCTGTGCTGACCTCAAGGTCATGGGTTCAAACCCCACCACTTGCTGGGAGACTATTGATCAGCAAACCCAGTTGATCAGGATTAGTCGGATTTTGCTTAACCTGTAATCTAACCAAGAAAACATGAAAGAAAAATAATGGACAAGGGGGGACCTGTAGTCTAACCAAAAATAACCAGGTTGATTTTATTTTATTTTTTAGGGATTCATGAATCATGATTATTAATAGGATAGCAATTAAAAAATCAAACCAGACAAAGGGCACAAGGTTTTTGGCATCATCCACAATTGATAAACAGATGTGACTAATAATACACTTACAATCCAACAAGCAACAACACCATAAATCATCATCTCATTATTCATAAGGGTAAATCAGTCTATATTCATACCAACCTTTTGACCACCATACCTCTCTTTGAACAGAGCAATGAGAGAAACAACAAGCCCATGTTTGTAAGCGACAAACGGCAGGCACTCAGTAGCGGTACTTGGTAGAGTAATCTTTTGGGGCAATGACGAGACCACGGCCCTTTCTTGCACCACGGTAAACGGTCTCAACAATGTCAATGAACTCTTGTTTGTCCTTCAGTGCCCAATTGATCTTGTTGTTGTTCCCGGTGCCGAGATCGACCATGATGTGTTTGTTCCTAAAGAAGAACATCACCGTTGAGGGGTCGTACAATTCATACATTGTGTTGAAGTCAGGTACTTCGGTGATGTCCACTAGGTATATGACAGCAAAGTTCTTTATCGTCTCCGCAACTGAAGCCAGTACTTCATCCATCTGAAAACAGTTAAAAAACCCAATTAGTAACCGACATGTTGAGATAAGAAAACAATGCAATATAAAAAAGTACTCCTTCCATCTCATAACAAGTCCTGTTTCACCAAGGTACTACTTTTTATTATAAGTAAGGTACAACTAGAGCAAATAACCCATTACCACCAAAATTCAAATTCCTCTTTAGCACCTAAAACCCTAATAAATTGATAATCCCAATTATTCTACTTCCTCTATCCCGCAATAATTGTCTCACTTTCTTTTTTATTCTCCGTCAACAAAAAAACACGTGGTTCACAAAATTTCTATCCTCTGCATAAATTTCCACCACGTAATTTTCACTTTTTAACAGTTCTCTTAAACTCTATGAAAGTTAAAGTGAGAGAATATTTTTGGGACGTAATAAGTATATAATTAATTGTTTCTTCATAAGAATAATGACCTGTGGGTTATATTGCTTCAAGAAATTTCATCTTTACCAGATTTGGTGGGTAGGGGATAAATAATTTTTAAATACTGCAGTTTGTGGATAAATCTGTAGATGATAAACATATTGAGGCGGCTCATAACTTAGATGAAATTTCATCTACGTTATGGAAATATTACATCAAACAGGTATGTGCTTGCTTTTCAATTATTTCATTTTAGAGTGCCATAAGTTAGTGCATATTTTGCGTTCTATATACTGCAGGGCAGAATACACTCATGCAAATGTGAAGAAAACTCTCCCAATTTTGCAATGTGAAATTGAAATGTGCGTGATAGCAGTGCATGATGCCATGATGTACTTCAGATTCAACACAATAAAATCAATACAAGTTTTCAGCACGATATGAAATTAGTACGAGACAATTTTTCCCTCTTTGAGTTCAAAGAGTAAAGGGGCTTTGTGTCTCAATTTGCCATGAATTTAGTGCTTAGGCAGGTAACGAAATTGAAAATGCACAAGGACATGCAGGTAGCTGTATATGCATTTTAAATAAAGGCCACACACAGCATACCATACATGTATGATTTTTGCCAATTGGAAACTTCAACAAAGACCGATACCACTTGAAAGAATTACCACACACTAGAAGAAGCTTGGTGTGCAAAACATTGACTCAAAAGAAGCAGATATTCCTTAGATTGAGGAACCAACCATGAAGGAGTTGATGGATTTACACCAATTGGTATGTCTATTTTTATGATTCTGATCTATATAGTATAGGAGCTAGTGAAACAGGCTGCTGCTATTTTAAAAATAACTTTTATGTATCGATATTTTTATCTAAAATAATAACATGTAGTGTGTGTACACACATACGAATGCATCGATATTTTTATCTAAAATAATAACATGTAGTGTGTGTACACACATATTGTTTCTAAACCTTTTTTTTGAAAGTATATTGTTTCTAAACCTTAATTCTCAATATATTTATAATTTCCTGCACTCCAACTTTATAGAAATGATTCTATAAGTGGTTATATTTATGTTTAACGTTTGATATAGATTTATTCCCTCCTTAATATTTTATTTTATCAACTAATCAATGAAAATATCCAAACAAAAAAAGTTATCGAGAGGCCGTAATAGTAATAATGTAAATCATTTTGGGACAGAGGGAGTATAAAATTTGCAAGCTGATCCACATAAGCAAAAGATCATGATCAGACAGTAAAAGGAGTTATGCCACAGGGGGCATATATCACGTGTTGGAGCCTCCCGCTAAGGCATTTCACAAGGGATGACCAAAGTCAAAAGAAGAAAAGTGATCCAAAGAGTACTATAAGAATGCCATCTAAATTTGAGCATGCTCAAATAGAGGATAAGGGGAGGAGAAAAGAAAACTCCTAACTTCAAAAATTACCAATGTGGAGAAGAAGACAAAGAGCTTGTTCCCTTTGTCTCATCTGATTAAATCTAATCTGGATTTGTTAAAGTCTGACATGATCTGATTGTAGTTATATTTAAAGTTGTTTCTGATCTGATTTGGTCTCTGATTCCAATAAAAAGAAGTAACACTCTATCCATCCCTAAATCTCCTTCTTATTTGGACTTTTATGGGATTTAAGGAAATGATATTTTGTGTGGACTTTACCAAATTACCCTTGATGTGATGGATAGATTATTAGTGAAAAAGAATGATGTGATAGATATGTGAAGAATTAGTAGTGGTAAAAGTAGTTTTTTTAATAGAAAGAAGAAAGGGATTTTGGGAGTTGGGACAAAGAAAAAAAGAAAAGACAGGCTTTTAGGAACTGAGGGAGTATGTTATAAGAATATGTTGAAGAGAACAAGCTCAAAGTCTACTACCAGAAGCACACTCAATGATGGCCCCTACCATAGTTTTGAAAACCGGACCAAACCGGTCGGTTCGGACCGGAAACCGGCGAACCGGATCCCAAACCGGTCTGGTCCAGTCCTTCAGATCGCTAATAACACCGAACCGCCGGGAACCGGATAAAACCAGTAAAACCCGGGTTGTTAAACCGCCAAACCGGTTTTTTTTTTAAAGTTTTTCCAAACATTGATTGCAGGGGTTCGAACCTTGATGTGAGGGACTTTCCACCACCGTCATACCCATTGTGCTATAACGGCAGTTGTGACAATTTCGAACATTTTCTTATTTTGTATCAAATATTCCTTAAGTAAAAAATTATTTTTCAAAAAACTTTGAAAAATATATATTATATTTGGGTTTTGAGCTAAGATTCAAAATCTAAACCGTTGATATAATAGATATTAATATGAAGTGCATATCACACAAATATTTTATTTATATATATTTTAAATATTAGATAAATTACTTGAAAAAATCATATCAACTCTTATTTTATAAAAATTTAAAACACATAATTTTTATTTTTTAATTTAATTCCACAACTAAATTAAATTAAATTGATTGTAACTTTAGTCAAATATCATAATTATTTATTTCTAAATAGAGAAAATATTATTTTGTTTACTCATAGATAACTTATATATATATATATATATATATATATATATATATATATATATATATATATATATATATATATATTTGAACCACTGGTTCAACCACTTGAACCACTGGTTCAACCAGTGAACCAGTACCTTGACCGGTTCGATCACCGGTTTGGTTTTGAAAACTATGGCCCTTACTTTAAATGGTTCTCGGCCCTGTTGCTTAAATACATCAAACAGACTATAGATGTAGCAACTGATGGAAACTGGGTTTTAGATCCAGAGCAGGGATGATTGGCTGTGGAAGCCATGATTGGAAAATGGTAAAAAATGAGATGATAATACATGTCTAAAAAAGGGCTGACTTATACAAGAATGTTTTTTAGTGTGAATTTGAGAGGGTTGTAGAGAGACTCAGCTATTACAAATCACAAGCACTGGTACAAAAATGCATGGAACTCCCTGCAATGGGGATTATTGTGGCAAATGGTTACATGATGGCCCTTATTCACTTTTTAAGCCTTGAGCATGTAAGAAGGCATTGGGTTTGTAAAAACCAACCATTGTGTTGAACTTCATCTCAGTCCAGGTTGTCCACCATTGAAATATAAGAATATGGCATTTACAGAAGTGTAGAGAGAATAGCTATATCACAAAAAACTGGAGTGAATTTAGCATGTGTAGTGAATTTAGAAAATACGTGGAGTGTGGCTAGCAGCTCCTTAGACATAATGAGCATTAGATCTTTTTGTTCTAATAGGGATTCTATTTTGGGACAAAACAAGTCTTCAAATAGAACCCTTTGTGGATGAAGGGAGTAATTGTGATAATAGTACACAAACCCAAATGGACTACAGTCAAATAGTCAATGCAAGAATAACCATGTAGAGTACCACAAATGTGGTTCGTGGGGGTTGTACATAGACCTTAACCCTACCTAGAAATAGTCAATGCAACACCCTATGAGAAAATGGAACACCAGATTCACGAAGCCCTAGGAAAGTGCAGAAAAGACAATTATAGGAGGCAACAAGTACCACAAAAATCTCAGCTGCCATAGCATATATGGTCAGGAAGAAAAGTTTTTCCTTGCTAAATATGAAGAGTTTTACTTTTACCTATATAAATTATTAAACTGTAATGCAAGTATCACAGTAATACTCATTTACTTGAGTCTCTCATGAACGAAAGACAACCAGCGGAAATCAATCACAACCCAAAAATCAACCGCAAGTTTATGAGTCCAAGCTATATCCCATTTTCTACAAGGCCAATAGGTCGCACAAGTTTACCCATGTTCATATGTCCTCATTAGGTTATGCTTGGTGGATTCACCAAATCATGGGTAGAAATAAATATAAGCAGTACTAGGATGGAGAATTTGTTGGAAGAATTTGGGGAGATATTCAATAGGATCATGTGTTCAGCACCAGTATTTAGACCTAAAGCTTGATAGTTGCTACATTATACTTCCTCTGTCTCAAAATGATGAGCCCCATTTGACTAGGCACGTTTTTCTTAAAGTGAAAATTGTGGATGAGATTTATGTGGAGGGGATGGAAACATCGTAAACCACATCAAACTTTCCAAATATAGAAGCACGCACATCTTTTGAGGATATACCAAGAACGAAAGAATTGACATCATTTTGAGATAAAGGGAGGAGAAGCTTTATCTGAAAAGATAGCATTATTTAAAGGGCATCTTTTGTACCATAGGATTATTCCTAAAGATTCACTAGCAACATGTTTAGTACGAAGTGCGAAATATATAGGGAAAGAAATATTTATTCTTTGGATGCATCCTTACACTTTGCTTGCAATCAAACACCCCCTATATACCAAGAAAGATCAAAGAGAAGCAAAACAATACTCATATAGTAATGCCAAACCACAACAAGTGGCCAAATGCTCAAACCAAAAACACAACAAAATTACTAGACATTAAGTGAAATACACTAAATATATATCTAATACATGTTTTTGAAGCAGTTACATAACTTCATCAAGAATACCACACATCAAATCGGATACCAAACTAGGATCATTAACACACATGCATCTCACTAAGTTTGCAATGGAGTATTATATTGCATTGTATCATTTGTATGCAAAGAAAGATCATGGAAAAAGCATATTAATAGGACTTCTACTTCAAAAACTAGACATAGTGATTAAACTAAGCTTGTGACAGAATAAAGTCAACACACTACTGACTACTATGAAGTTCAAATAACATGAAGTCAAAATTTATAAATACTAAATACAACACTAACCAAGGATCCATGAAACTGAACTCCCCAATATGATGTTCTCACTTCAACATTTTGAATCATGCGCTTGCATCACCCAGACTTTACAAGTAACTCTCGAATATACAATTTACTAAATATTAAGGTTGGAAGTTACGGCACTATTGACTCATGCTTTTCCTCCTTTAATCTATTGAATTAAACCTAATTATAAAGCACAATCTGCTGTTTTTCCCCTTTTTGGGACAAAGAGAGTTGGAGTGGATACTCAAACAGACTTTCTGACAATAAGAAAAGCATACCTGCATACAGGTCTCATCCCAGTCGTGACCGAAGCGGATAAGGACGAGGCGCTCCTCCTCTGCGAGGATGGCTTGATCAACCGCCCAACCAGAGTGAAGATGGGGCAACAAGTAGGACATTTTTTCTTCTGGAATAACGCAAAATGGTTATGCTCAGATTTTAGGAATTGAAGAATCAGACCGCATACTTACACGGGGCCAATGGGCGGATCAAAAAGACCCATAGCCTAGGCTGATGACTTCCATTGGAAGGGTGTTCGCCTAAGGTCTTCCAAAGTGGTGGAGCCTAAGTCATAATTTGTGGTAGTGGAGGCCTGCGTTCGCACGCCCCCCGTAAAAAAAAAGAATCAGACCTCAAGGCCAACACCCAAAAATCCAAAAAGCCTAATGAGTAATGAGTTCCCAAATCAGGCTTTTTAGAAAAAAATGTTACCCCTCTTATAAAATAATGATAGAAAAATTATTCAGAGATTATGAATATAAAATAGTGAAAAGAGGAAGAAGATAACGAGGAGAAGAAAAGGAAGGGGGAGAGGAAGAGAGAGAGAAAGAGTACTGGCATAGAATACTGACCGAGAAAAGAAAAAGAAAAACGAGAAAGGCTAAGAAAGGAAGAGAAGGAAGGGGTTTTTTATGAAGATTGGGTATGAAAACGTATAATGGGAATTTCTTTTCCGAACGGAAAAATACGTAGAATGGAAAGTTATTTTCTGGACGGAGGGAGTAATTTAATTTGAGGCAGAAGGAGTAGCCGTTGTTATCAAGTTTGTCATGCACTCATGCTAATGTATGTTTAAAGACATTTGTTCTACTCTCTTCATCCCAAGAGAAAATTCCTGTTTCATTCTTTCTATATCACATAAAATACTTATATCTCACCTCAAATGTCTACAATACCCTCAAAACTACTACACTTTTATCTCACATCAAATATATAAAAATATAAAATGCCACCCCCCTAACAACTTCAACTCGTATGAAATGGAAAATATGATAAATTTTAGACATTATAAGTAGTCCTGGCAAAACAGATCCGGAACCGATTACCCAAACCGAAATATCCGAAATCGAAACAGGAATGACCCGAAAAATGAAGATCCAATCTATAACCGAAAACCCGAAATAATCCGAATCGAACCGAAACCGAACTAAATAATTCATATCCGATTTAAATCCGAAACCGATAATATCCAAACCGATTAAACCCGAAATCGATTAGATCCGAACCCGATATTACCCGAAACCGATAAAATCCGAAACCGATTAGATCTGAAACCGATAATGTCCGAATTCGATTAGAACTAAAATCGATAAATTCAGAACTATGTTTGCCTTTCAATAAGCATATTATATTTTTAAAGTTTTACTTTTATTTTACCATTTGAACTAATTACATTACTTGCTCATTCCCTCATAAAATGGACTATCTTCTTGAAAAAAGTACAAAATTTTATGCCTTAAATTTATTATATGTAGAAATTAAAGATAAGTTATACATATAAATGATAACGCACAAACAAATAAATTGTTTATTGAATTGTCGTTCAATCATGGAAAAGAAATTACATAGGACAGTGGGAGCTTCATATTTATGATTTAAAAGGTACACCCATGTTGCCCGAGAGAAATCATCAACAATAGTTAATAAATATTTAGTCCCAGTGCGAGACGGAGTACGGTACCCACCCCATAAATCACAATGAATCAAGGAAAAAGGAGTAATAGATTTATTCAAACTAATTGGAAAAGAGTCACGACATTGTTTTGAACGAAAACACACATCACAAGGGGAATTAGGAATATTGGTATTTTTAGGTAATTGAAGAAAAGTGTTGACAGTGGTGTAGGAGGGATGACCCAAGCGCTTGTGCCAAATGTCCAGATCCTTCGCCTCCTTCATAGTGCAGACTTTGTCCTTCACACCTTTCTTGAGATAATATAGTCCTTCAGCCTGCTCACCCATTCCAATCACCATCTTCGAGATATAGTCCTGTATAATACAAATTTTATTATTAAACTTGACAATTAAATTCTTTTTCTCAAGAAGTTGTGAGACAGATATAAGATTGCAGTTGAGTTGAGGAACTAGCAAAACATTTTCTAAGGTGATCAAATTATCCACAATTACTCTCCCCTTTTGGTTGGCTATCGCGCAATCTCCATTTGGTAGGCCAACAGAGCACGGTTTTATTGCTTCCAAATTTTTAAGACACTTCTTATCACCGGTCATATGCTGACTGGCTCCACTATCAATGATCCAAGAAGTATTAGTCATACCTGAAAATTTATTTTCCATACCCGAATCCTTCTCGTTTAAGAGTCCAATAAGTGCATTCCATTGATTGGTTGTGAGAGAAGATGGATTCGGTTGATGAGATGCCCGTCCCCCATCTGTTGCATTGGCTTGAGCCGTGTGTGCCGCCGGTCCACCTACTGGACCGCCACCAGCCCCGCCGCGGTTACCTCGGCCGGCGCTGCCCCGCCTGCCGCCGCGTCGTCCCCCTGTTCCGTTTCCGCGGCCATTGCCTCGTCTTGGGTTCAAGACGCGTGGGGGATCTCCCCACCATTCAGGATATCCAATGAGTTGAAAGCAACCATTATTTTCGTGTCCGCTCAGCCCACAATGTTTGCACTTTAAATCTTTAGTTGCGTCACGGTCAAATTTAGAGGTGACGACAAAGCCCACCGGGTTACGTTCCTCTTCTTGAGTAGTCTTCAAAACCCCTTCCTGCTGTATGATGGTGGAGTATACGCGATTCAGCGGTGGCAAAGGTTCTGTGGCGATGATGTTAGATCGTAGACTCCCATATCCTTCGTTATCTAATCCCATTAGAAATTGGTGAACCTTTTCTTTGTCGCGTTGGATGACAAGCGCTTTGCTTATCCCACACTTGCATCCATGGCATTTGCAAGTGGGGATTTTTTCATGATCGCCGAGTTCGTCCCATATGGTTTTTAATTTTCCAAAGTACGTAACGATGGACTGACCGTTTTGCTTGCAGTTCGCAAGCTCCTTCTTCAGTTGATGGATTCGAGGACCGTTTGCAACAGAGAAACGATCTTGGATGTCCTTCCATAGTTCTGCTGCTTCTTCTACCTGCGTGATGGAGTTTCTTAGGCTGCCATCAATGGTATTGTAAATCCATGAGACCAACATGGCATTCACAATCCACCATTCTTCATAGTTTTCATCTCCCTCTTCTGGACAAGGGATGGATCCGTCGATGAATCCAATTTTCCGTTTTGCACGGAATGCAATTCTCATTGCACGAGCTCATTCTTCATAATTATCACCGTTTAGTTTGACCTGGGTGATAATTAATCCAGGTGTGTCTGCATTCTTGAGTTCGTAAGAACTTCCCTTCGTAGGGATTTTCTCCTCCTCATCGAAGAGCTTACCGACGAGATTTTCTTCTGTTTCTGCCATGTCGACGGTCGAGGAGAATAGTCCGGCGTTCGGTGTTGGTGATCCGGCAGAAGACAGTGATTGACCGTTGTTTGTCTAGATTAGGATTTTCCCTAGGAATCTCGCTCTGATACCATGTAGAAAATAATAAGAGGGAAAATATTCTGTATATTGAATTGTTCTGTCTAACTACAAGGGGTTTCTCCTTTATTTATAGGAGAGGATGATTCCAAAATAGACAAGGAATACAAATCCTACAAGGAAACAAATCAATAATCAAACTAGGAAACAAATAAATCAAGATCAATCCCAATTAGAATGGGATTCGGTCATCATAGGATTTGGACTTCTCGAGTTCGGATTTCTCGGAATTCGGACCTCTCGGAATTCGGATCTCTCGGAATCCGGATTTCTCAGAAGTTGACTTCTCCGGATCCGGACTTCTCCGGATCCGGACTTCTTAGTTCCAATACGATTTAAATGGGGACAGAGAGAGTAACATTCTTTTGGGGACAGAGAGAGTACTAAGCTGATAATTTTGGATATGTTCATGAGCTTTTACCACCGATCCTCTGTTACCAATTCTTTGGTATGAAATATCTATTCGTTCATCAATCATGTAATTACAGAAAGTAGCGTGTTAACGTATTTGGTCTTGTGCAAGAGAGGGGTTATTGAAACCCTTCGAGGCACATTTACGGCCTTGATAGATCATAATGAATTCTGGATTATAGATTGAAAGAACATTAGAGCAAACATCATGATCATATGGTAAATGGCAATCCATTGAAGGGATATTTTCTAAGATACTAAGAACAAAGAAGCAAGATGTTCATATAAAGGTAAATACACATGCAGCAAAATCTGATCTTGCAAAATATAGGACCCTTGGTTAATTGGTGTAGTGAGAATGTGAAATTTGAAGCTAGAGAACAGCTTAAACTTCAATCACACCGCAAAAATTCCGTGTCAAGAGAGAATCCACAGGGCCCTAAATGGACTTCTGTTTAAGGAACATCAGCAACTAGTCCAAACACCAACAATTTTAAGCAGGCCTCACAAAAGAGGGCCTCAGCCAGCTGGTTTAACTTACCTGTGGGGTGGAAGACCGAGCAACATTTGGCTTGTTTGGCGGAGGCGGAGGCGGCAGCTTGGATTCTACCCACTCAGGTGCACTGCTTAACCACAACCCTTCGCCCGATTCTTTGTTTTTGAAGTCAGGAGCTTTCTCATTCCATTTGCTTGACCTGTTATCCCACCATTTTTCAGGACTCTCCACCAAACGCTTCCACAGCTCCACCTTCACATTCTTAAACTGTCCTGAACTAAAGTTCAATCCTTGGAGCGCTTTCACCACCTCCTCTGGGGTCTCATTGCTGAGCCATAGCGCCGTACCTTTTGCCGCGTGCTTAAAATCCGGGTGTTTAGATTTCACTGTCCCCTCAGACTTCCTTTGCCTGTAATCCAGCCACTCGTTTGGATTGTTGATCAAATCCCACCAATCTTCACTTATAGCAGCACCTTTCTCGACGTCCTTACGCTTGAGAACCTCATGGGCAGTTCTTGAACCACAATCCACTTCCACATTTTTCAATTCTTTCCCCTTAACATCATCTGGGGCGGTGTTTGAATCAGAAATCACTGCCCCATTTCCTCTGCCAGGAGCCTTCCCTTCAACTCTGCCCTGTACGAAGTAGACATCTTGAGCCACAATATGAAAGCTCCCTTCGTGATCGCCAACCGCAAAGGGCAAAGGGTCTCCACACAATATCCCAGACACAAACACACAATCAGTCTCCTTCACATGGCACTTCACAACATGAGCCAAATCACCCTCGAACACAACAGGAATCAATACAGAAGGCAGATAAGGCAAGGAGAGAGACATTGCCGTGCTGAGTTCGTGGTTATCTTGCTTAATGACAGTCGCGGCCACAGGCTTTCCATCGGGCAAGGTCTGGAACTGAACAGGCAATTGCACGGAACCAACCAATTTCACGGAGTTTGCAGCCTTGCCTTGGAACGGAATCACGCTGGGCTTCCGCCAGGAAGAAGAGGCGGCGCCGGATTCTTTTGCGACTTTCGGGGAATTCAGCACGTACGACGCCGTGGAATACGACGGTTCTCCGGGTTTCGGGGAGGGATGGACGGAGGCTTGCGGGAGTGAAGCTAGGGTTTTGATCAAGAGAATGCAATTGCTTGGCTTTGATGGCGAGAGAGAAGAGCGTGAGAGCGTTCTTCTAATCAGGAAATGCATTGCTTCAGCGTTGAGCGGGAGCTGCGTCCCGTGGAAATGGAAAATCTAGGGTTTCTGTGGTTTCAAATTTCCAAATGACGATGAGACTGCGAGCTCAAGTTAGATGATCGGGGGAGATGGTTTCCACGGGGCATTCAGTAAACGAACCGAATAGAAACGAATACCGATATATTTGAATTTGTATTTGTTTAATTTTTTCGAATACGAATCCGAATCCGAATATGAGACGAATTCAAAATAAGATTTGAATAAGTATTTGATTAATATTCGAATAGTTATCGAATCATAAACGAATATTTGAATAATCATACTATATAATTTATATGATGAACCAACATCAATTTGTAATTTAACTTACGATACTCTTGATACTATACTATATTCCGTATATAAAAACATTAATACATTTGCATCTTACACAAATTATATTTTATAAAATATAACTATTAAAAATCATATGCTTTAGATTTTCGTATTACGTTAATTTATTGAATTCTTAGTATTTTAAATACAATTTATACTATATTACTTTGCTTGACTTTTGATGTTGAAAACATGATCTGTGTATATATACATATATTCGAATATTCGAATATCATCCGAATCGAATATATCCCTATTTGTATTTGTATTTGATTAATATTCGAATCAAAAATAATATTTGAATTTGAATTTGTATTTGAATAACGCGAATTCGAATCATCATATTCGAATACAAATCGCGAATCGAATTTAAAATATTTGATTTGTTTACATCCCTANTTTAAATACACTTTATACTATATTACTTTGCTTGACTTTTGATGTTGAAAACATGGTCTGTGTATATATACATATATTCGAATATTCGAATATCATCCGAATCGAATATATCCCTATTTGTATTTGTATTTGATTAATATTCGAATCAAAAATAATATTTGAATTTGAATTTGTATTTGAATAACGCGAATTCGAATCATCATATTCGAATACAAATCGCGAATCGAATTTAAAATATTTGATTTGTTTACATCCCTAGTCACGACTCACGGGTAGAAACTGTCTGGTTTTTTAAGGGCCTTGCAACCATAGTTTTTAGAACCCGATCGGAAACCAAATCGGTCAAGATACTGGTTCACTGATTCATTGGTCGGATCAGTTATTCAAGTGGTTGAAACAAGGGTTTACTCATATTTAAAAATTATATATATAAACACACACACACACTTACACAAAATATTATTTAATGAAATAATATTTTTTATCTATAAATAAAGAATTTATGATGTATTACTAAAATTATAAGCAATTTAATTATTTTGAGTTGTAGCATTAAATTGAAACAAATGCGTATTTAAACAAATAAAAAAGAGGTGACATTTATTGTTTTATAATTCACACAATTTTTTAAAAAAGTATTTAAATAAGTTAATAGTTTTGTGATATGAAGTTTATATTAGAACCAATTGCTTCAATATTTTAGACACACGCAATTCTTCATTTATAAATAACTAAAGAAAGTAATTTATAACATTTGACTAAAATCATATTAATACACTTGAGTTATTTTACTAAGTTAAAAAAAAATAAAATTTACGTATTTAAAAAACAATATTAAAAATTTTATTAGTGTAGACCTAATTTTTTTTAAAAAAAAGTTGTCTAATATTTAAAAACACTCAAATGAAATATTTGCATGATATGCATCTTGTAATACAATTAATTATATCAATTATATTTTTAAAAATAAAAAGAAATTTTTACACAATCTTTTTTTAATGATGAAATATTTCAAAAGAGTAAGTGAACTTGTAACAAAAAGCATCATAGTTTAGATGGTAGGAACTTAACTATAAACGTCTAAAAAATGTTGAGTTCAAACCCCACGGTGTATATTTTTGGGGGAAAATGCAAAAATTTGCAAAAAAAAAAAAATGGCCGGACCGGTGCACACTGTTTCGGACCGGTTCACACCGGTTCAATGTAGGTAACGGTCTTAAGGGCCGGACCAGACCGGTTGGACCACTGGTTCTTCGGTTCACGGTCCGAACTGGCCGGTCTGGTCCGGTTTTTAAAACTATGATTGTTACACTTACACCACAAATTGTACCTCATTTGTACACAGCAGTTATACACAAACATTTTGATGGTTTACACCGACACAGGTGTTGGTGCGTTAACAAAAATTTACATGGACACAAAGTGTTGGTGCGTTAACAAAAATTAGTTTTACACCAACACAAAATGTCAGTGCAAATCTGCGGTGTACGAAATGGGGTACAAAAGTGTGGGGTACAAATAGCTTTATCCTTTTTTTAATTTTGTTGTCCATCCCAAAATGCTTTGAGATGTTTTCATTCAAATTTTTTACAAGTTACTCCCTATAACTTATAAGTGTGAAAAACATTACTCCCTCCGTCCCAGAGTATTTGTTCCCTTTCATTTTTACACACCATCCAATACACTTCTTTCATCCATTTTATCTTGTAATTTGTATATTAAAAAATTATACTCCGTAGAAATTATATATTAATAATCTATATGTTAAAACAAATCAAACAAGATCACACATGATTATATTTAGGCTTACACATTGAGAGAATTTGATGAGTCAAAGTGCTTAGATGAATAGTTCCAAAAGTCAAAAGTGGACGAATATAGCGGGACGGAGGGAGTATGTTGTTTATCCGTGAAAATAATTCAAAACATTCAAAGAAACATACTTGACAACAATTGGAATAATGATATTTTCACTTACAGTTCTCCTGGTGAACTCGTATTTTTTGTGCCTTTTCAGTGTCTGAACTCAGCAAATCACCATAAACCCGGTCTAGATTAGTTTGTCCGGATGATAATTTACAAGATCACTCGTAACCAATTGTACGGTGTATACAATCATTATTTCAAGAATGGATGAAGTATAATTTTATGAAGTTGGGAGGGATCTAAAGTTCAACACCATTCCAAGGGCCCCCCGCCCCTCACTTGTTTTGTTTCGTCCCTCTCCCAAAGAACAAATGAAACCCCATTTCCCTCTGCCCACTACTCTCTCCCTCCTCTTATAAATCCATAAAAACAAACAGACCATGAAATTAATATGGTTCCATGATGCTTATCCCCAACAATGGGGCCGGCGAGAGAATAGCAACTCTTCAAAACCCACATTATGCCGATGATGTCTTCCTTCCTATCCATAC